TGTGAGTAAATCTTAGTCATTTCTTGATGTCTGCAAATTTTGGCCCTTATGTAACATTGGATTTTAAAAAAAAAATCTTTCAGTAATTTTTTTTTTCTTTCAAGTTAGCACTTTCCAAGGAGTAATTTACTCCAAATTGTGTGTATTTATGAAAAGTGTTTAGTCTTTGCATTTTTGTGTATAAAGCCTTCAATATTGGCATTATATGCAATAAGTTAATCTTTTTACAGGATACATTTCTGTAAAGGGTTTAGTCAGTACATGATGTATAGTTGTTCAATCTTTGTTTGTGTAAAGGCCTCAATTTTTATGCTGTGTGTGTGCTAAGGAGTTTTTTTTTAAATATGTTTAAAAGATTTATATGTATATATGGTTTGTGCTATGAAATTGTGTAGAAATTATAATGATATTCAAAAGTAAAAATCAGTATATTTAAAAAAAACTAAAAAAAACTTGTGGAAATGAGTCAAAGTAAAAGTTTATAAAGAACATGTTTCACCAATGTCTGTTGGTCTCAGCTTCTTCAGTTCAGAAATGAAATGTTTGTTCATTTATTTTTATATATATATATATATATATATATATCAAGAACAATATTGGGAAAATTGTATAACACATAGCACAGTGGATAAAGGCATTGGTTAGATCCAGTGACAGGACCCAAAGAGTGTGAGTTCAATACCCAGTTAAGGCAGTGGAGAACTTGCTTGCAGAGGGGAATTAACTGGCGATAAATGATAACTGAAATCCATTAAACATGGCACATGGAACTAGAACAGTATACCCCAGTGAGCGAAATAAACGGCACAGTTCGACATTCCAACCATTGGAAGAAGGCCAGAGTGTACAACGGTCGAAACGTAATAAATATGATGACAAAGATGAGGACAATAGTCCAAATAATGTAAATATTGTATGACAAAGTAGAAAAAGTTTACTTGTGATGTATTTTGTCCTTCAGGACTTCATTCGAATAAATTTGTTATGTTGGTACGACCACACATGCACATGAACGAGGGGGTGTGAGGATTTTAGAGGATTTTTTTTTTTTTCAGAATTTTTTTTTTTTTTTTTTATAAAATGCATTACAAGTAAACTTTTTCCAATTTGTCATACAATTTCCCCAATATATATATAATTATTTTTCAGGAGCTAATATTGTCAGACTGTTTCACTGTTTCACAGCTCATCAGTGTGACTAGACATCCAATTGCCTCAAGCTGGGATTGAAACCCAACTGATTTGGTATCAGGTGGAGATTCTAGAAATAAGAATAAGCAGCTTCCAAAAGAGTTTGCTTAAGATTGCACACAGGAAAAAAAATGCTCAATGCCATAATAAATGGCAGAGCTTTAATATATTTTCAAGTCAAATTTCAAATGGACAGTGACCAACCATGACTGCCAGTTTCATACGCTTCCACACAATCATCAGGTAGTCAGTAGCTGTAGTTTGAGAAAATAAGAATTCTTATACCACCAGGCAAGTCCTAGATGGTAAGCCAACCAATCTCACCACGGGCAAATTAACCTATCCAGCCAAGATCAAAATAGCCAAGAGAAGAAAAAAAAAATCCACCAGAAATGGTTTACTGGTGCAACAAAAAAGTGCTAAATGTCATGGGTAACAATAGCACTATAGTAGAGAAGCTTACTGCTTCAAGCAAATCAGTGCTTGAAATTACCAGGCCACAAAAGTCACCCATGTCACAGCATTTATAATTATAGATAATAAATAAGCAGCTCCTTAAAAAAATATAAAGATATATATATATATATATATATATATATATATTAAAATCGATTAATTGCTTAAAAATTACTTTGTACACATTTTGGGTTTTAAAATAAAATTTCACAGATATAAACTTTGAATGGTTCCACCAAGACATGTGCATTTTTAATAAGATAATTGAAACTTGCTTTGTCATGGTGGCTTTTTGTAGCTATATTGGTAAAAGGCACACTTGCCTTAAAAGTGATATCCCTGATGGTAAAAGGCAATACAGTTACAATTCCTGGTGGGAATTTTTAAAAACAAAAATACTAAAGAACTCCAGATTATTTACCTAACATGTTCTTTACTATTTTTCTACATATCTGTACACACACACACACACACACACACACATATATATATATATATATATATATATATATAGGCAGCATGTTTTCATTAAGACATGTCTCATTGAATAATTTACACAAGTTTTGTCTACTTATTTTCAATAGAATTCTCTCATATTCACAGACAAGCTTCTTAGTATCTTTATTAAAGAAAGAGAGAAAATTACCATGTTGATACATATTCATCTATTCCGAGTACTTTCGACATTAGCACAATGTCATCATCAGGGTGTCATTTTTTTTCTAAGACAAAATTGTTGTGTTCATCTAAAATTAAAATTATTTTTTTAACTGTGAAGTGAAAAACACTAAGTTTATGTACTGTACAGTTTAAATTTCATGTTTGAAACCTATATATGCATGTGTATGTTTCATAAATACTGGGTTTTTACATTTATCAAAAACATTATCAAACAAATGATAGGTATAATACATTTTTTTTTTTTTTATTAGTGTCACAAAGTGATAATCTGTTGAAAATGGTTGGAAATTGTCAAATTAGTGTACATATGACAGTCCAAATAATTTCCTGCTTTTGGTGATGAAAAGCATAAATTTTATATATTTTCACCTTTTCTCTTTCTGAACAGGCCCAATCTGCAGAAGATGTGTGTCCATAATTTGTTATACACAGAAGCTGGGCAGTCTCTTTTAAATGTCATCTCTATTGGCGTTGATGCCTTCAATGATACAGTAACTGAACAGGGAGGGTATGTATAATTAATCTGTTTGATGAAAACTCAGGAAATTATTTTTTTTGCCTGAACTCATATTTAAATACACTTTTTGAAAAGTGTGCAACTTCATATAACCTGCTGTAATCTTCTAAACTTTTAATGTTTAAGGTTTAAATTTTATATTTCAGAAATACATACATATACATAGATATATACATGAAGTGATTGCTGAAAAGTTCTTAACCTGACCTTGCCGTCCTGGGTAAGACAATAAACTACGTCCGACAGTAAGGCCTCTGATCAGGAGGTTTTGATGTGTGTGAAACCACCTCTGAATTGCTGGTGTTCCTGTTAGGGTCCCAGCTATGGGTAAATAGTTGACACCCAAACTGGGATCAAAATGCTATGAAAGTGTAAAAATAGGTTTTAATGCCAGAAATACTTGTAAAAAAATTATTACCAACAATAAATTTTTGGAAAAAAGAAATATTACCAGCAATAAAAATCTGGTTGGTATTAAATAACCAATTGAGATTGATTCCACAAAACAAAAACAAAACATTTTTGAAAAAAAAAAAAAATATTACCAGCAATACATTTTTGAAGGAAAAAAATATTACCAGCAATACATTTTTGAAGGAAAAAATTACCAGCAATAAAAATTGTCGGCATTAAATAATCCATTGTGGTTGATATGCCATAAAACAAACTAGACTTAACCTGACCCTGTTCCCAAAATCTGTATTCTGCTATTTGATTGTTGAAATATGGATTCTGGGAAGAGGTGTGGACTGATAATTTTTTCTACATTCTTTTATATAACAAATTAATTTTTATTGTTGTTGTCACAACGTTTCGGCCATTTTACATTCCATCCTTCATTAGGTACTTGTTGATCTCAGTAACATTCTGGGAATTTCAAACTGAACTTTTATTTAATCTACTGCTAACCATGTCTACCGATATCTAGTTCTTATTAAGTACTGCTTGATTATTGCTTGCCCTCGAGTCCAAGTATTCAATACCCGTCCCAGGGATTGAACTCACAATGACTATATAACTAAATTCATCAACCAATGCCTAATGGATTAAAATATTGATTTGTGAATTTGTCCACATTGTGAGTTCAATCCCTGGTGCAGGCAGTGTGTACTTGGACTCAGTAGAAATGCTGGGGAGTGGGGTGGGTAATTTACAGCAAAGTATGAATTAAGAACTAAATGAGATATCCATAGACAGCAGAGCAAAAACAATCTACTTTTGTAGATTAAATAAAGGGGTCGGTTGGAAATTCCCTGAAGATTATACAGATTGACAAGTTCCTTCTGATGGCTGAATGACACAACAGCTGAAACGTTGTATTAACAACAATAAAGACAATAGTCAACATGTAAATAATTTAAATAATGATAAATTTTCATTCCAGAAATTCAAAGAGGAATAATGGATTAAGAAGAAAAGTAGGCATAACTGTTAGTTTCACAGATAAGGATATTAGTCCAAATGAATTCTATAATAGTAACAATGCTTCATCTCATAAATTCAAACTTAAGTATGACTGTAGCGTACAAAAGTTAAAACACTTTGAAAAAAAAAACAAACATAATGATATTAGTCCAAATGAATCAGTTTATAATCGTAACATTACCACATCTCCTGAATTCAAACACAAGTATGACTGTTGTGTATAAAAATTAAAACACTGATTAAAAACAACAAAGATAAAGATATTAGTAAAAATGTATTCTATAATAGTAACAATGCTTCATCTCAGGAATTTAAGTATAAGTATGACTATAGTGTACAAAAGTTGAAACACTGATAAAAACAATGAAGAAAAAGATATTTATACTATTTACATTGTTTAGGCTGTTGTCCTCATCTTTATTGTCATATTCACAACATTTTGACCGTTGTATGCTCCAGTCTTCTTCAGGTGATTAGAATAAAAGATTAAGATATTAGTTCTATAATAGTATCTATATGTCATCTCATAAATTCAAACATAAGTAAGACTGTAGTGTACAAAAGCTAAAACAATCGTGATAAAGATAATAGTCCTTGTGAATCAGTTTAAAAATGTTCATACAGTATTTCTACACAGATGTTTTTGCATTCAGATCTGCTTATCTTTATTTTTTTTATTTCTTTTTTAAGGTTTTTTGAAAACAAGAGCACTGATCTGATTGATTTAATTCAGATCTCCTTCTCAGTTTTAAACCGTCTTCTTTTACTCAAAGCCCCCGATCTTCCCTTATCTCCGGTGGAGCGAGCCTTATCCTTACCTGCAGCCAGTCAACAGGAACAACATATTGTATTGACCGTTGCCCAGTATATATACCATCAACATGCACCCAAACTACCCACAATGGCCCTACTTCTGTTAAAGAGGCTTGCTGTGGTAACGTATTTAATTCTCTCTTTGGTATTTTATATTGCTTTCTGAGTTGTTGTCTAAATTTGACAAGATTTTTGTTGCTTACACATTTATATGTCCCCCATTCATCCATGCCCTTTAATATTGCAGCAACATCTGGTCTTCTGCATCTAAAGATCGATAAAATACAAAGAAGAATTTGCAATATTATTAATCATGACATCTCGGCTTCAGTGACTTTCCCATCACCATAACATACCTTCCATGTGCCCTTTAATTAAACCTTTACTACACTAATTTCTTTCTAGAATTGCTCCCCCTGTAACTGCACTTTTTTTGAGGGTGCAGAAACATGAACACCTGTTTTAAAATTGTTATAACTTTCTTTGTATTGTGCATATAGATTTTAATTTTTGTACACTAAGAAAAGAATGAATGAGTAATATTTTGATGTAATTACATTTTGCATGTTTTGATGCTGAAAAGAAAAAGAATTGAAACATGAAATAAAAAAACATTAGAAAATACATAGATAATTCAATGTACATTTACTTTTATTACTCATTGTAATTGCTAAGAAGGCTTTCATTTCATCAAAAAATTGATATATTTCCTCGTGTTTACATACAAGAAGACACTAGCATTTGTATGATCTTTCTTTCACCTGACTCATTTATTTGTCTCATTGATGGATAAAGTTATTATTTCATCATTTATAAATAGACAAAATAATTCGCCTTCAGAAAGGCTATCAGGTATATCGATGGTTGCCAGTAGCTTCTATAAAATAGTTTGGCATGGATGATAGTAGCCGTTAGTGGTCATAATCACTTTCCTCCACATCACTAGTGTGGTTATCATCTTCAACCACTTCACCATCAATATTCACTTGAGTAAAGCCTCCAAAATTATCATCGGAGTCCTAATCAAAGAAAAACTCCTGAATAAAGGCTTTGTTGAATATTGATATGGCCATTTTTTGTTTACAAAAAATCACAAAAAATTAACGTGGGTTTAATTGGTGTTACACCTAGTGTAGAGTCTAGAAGAAAACTCGAAAACTGAAGTTTAGCCTTGTTCCAAAGCAGTAGGAGGCAATTTCCAGCTTAAAATACTGGAAATAACAGTTGACAAGTGTTTATTTATAGCAACCATCTCAAGGCAACAGAATGCACCTAGAGTAGCAAAGGGAGAGAACTCTACGGCAACAATTTCCACCTGCAACGTGATGAAGGTTAAATAGAATGTTAGGCATGGCTATTGAGCTTTGAGTTTGCCTTGTTAGTTAGGGTCAAGAATCCTCTACCTACATAACACTCATGCCAAAAAAAAGACCACTGGTTTACTACACCTATATTTATTTTTTTTTGAGTCTTGTACAAACCAAACCTACATGTACCTTTTTGACTCTCATGCAAATCATACTTATGTCAACCTATCTATTAAACAAGAGAATTTGGCATCGAATAGTCTGGAAAAGATTAATATTCTGTAAAACAAACAAAACTTAGTCAACAGCCAGTCTAGGAGAACAACTCCTCTGAATTCAAAAGCATCGGGAAGACAACAGAAAACTACTCCACTATCTTTCCCAAGAAATCATGACTATATATATAGTCATCCACAGACAGATTGTTTTGCTGTATCACAGCTCATCAGTGTGGCTAGACATAGACATCTGATCACTTCAGGCTGGGACCAAAACCTGACCAATTTGGTATCAGTTGGAGATTCTAATCCTTAGGCCATCAACACCTGGCAGAGAGAATATAATATAATATAATATAATATATATATATATATATATATATGGATTCTAACTCCATCTGTTCTTTCTCTTTCTTAAGATAAAATATAGATAGAGAGAGAGAAAGAATAGTTGGAGTTAGAATCCACAGTTCAAAAGGTAACAATTCGTTTTCAAATTTCCCAAATAAATCATTTGTATTATGTTATCTACCATCACCCAATGAGGAACTGTTAAAGTTCCAAAACATGAAAGTTTTTGTGTAGTGATGTCAAAATATTTTTATTATAATAAAAATATTTAAATATGACTTGTTTTTTTTTTTAATCAATTCTTTTTTTTTTTCTTATATCTAGGCTTAGTATTAAAATTTAAACTCTATTGATGAAAAAGTGGTATAAATAAATAGCAAAATATGCCTTCCAGAATCTAAGCAAAGTCAGAAACAAAGAAAAGAATAATTACACTATTTACATTGTTCAAACTATTGTCCTCATCTTTAGTGTCATATTCATGACATTTCGGCCATTGTGTACTCTAGCATATAAAAAAAGTGAATGGATGGCAGAGTAGAGACAAAGAGGAATAGTAAAGATTCAAAAGTTATGCTGAGCAACAAAGCAAGGAAGTTATGGAGAGTGTGACGGACGCAGATAGCCTAAACACGCATACATGCATATATTAAGGTTAATCTCCGCCTGACAACAGAAGAGGTCACGTGGAAGTCTTGAGACATTTTGGGAAAGCAAGTCAAGAGGTTGACTGACCCAATTACCCGTAGCAACAGATGTCTAGACAGGGGACTGAGGTAAGCTGGAATTTGTGCCAAAATGCAGGACACCTGAGAGTTAGAAAATTACTTGAAAGTCAGTTGCTGTCTTGTCTTTGAAGGAGAAAGACTTGAAATCAAAGCGCTGACAACTTATGAACGGAAAGATGAGACTCATTTGATAATGATGGAACTTGTCCGATTCATCCCAGGCAACTCTGGACAAGAAATATAAGAACATGTATTTCTGTTCGATAACCCCAAATTGAAGACTTGACATGCCGTTAAATCTAACATCCATCCATCCCAAATTGAAGACGATAACTCGCATTATTTATCACAGAAGACGCAAAGGAATTTGTATGCTGAGAATACAGCCTGCATTTGAAGAAAAGAGAAAATCAGAGAGGAAGAAAGTATATATCTCTGTTACAAACTGAATTGTGTAAAGAAGAAAGAAAGAAAGAAAAAGGAAAACCAGAGAGAGGAAGAAAGTGTATATCTGTTACAGCCGGACAGTGTGTGAAATCGTATTTGTGTCAAGAAAAGGAAAGAAAGAAAGAGGAAACGTGAGAAAGAAAAGAAAGGACAATGATAAAAAAAGAGAACTGAATATAAAGATAAGTAATTATATATTTTGGACCCGTGTTAGAAAGATACACATGCATCCATAAATATTATGTTCTTACAAACACCTTTCCACATGTCAAAATAATAATATGTAAATCCTATCCCATCTCTTTTGGTTATGCGTTGATTTCTGCATTCGTAGTTATTCATACTTATATATTTTTATCCATTCAGGTTCAGTCAAATCCATTTGGAGTTAGGCATATTTTGATATCCCAACATAAGTCTTGAGATCTGGTCGTCGGATGCTTTACTCATGCTTATATTTTCTTTTATTTTAATATTTTGTATATATGTACATATTAAAGTTCTTATATCAAAGTTCACTACGCCTTATCATTCATCCTTGAATTGTGGATCAGTATTCGTGTTGAAACCGAAGCGAACCTGGGAAAAGATTACTGTTCGATTATCCTAATCCAACAGTGTTCTTTAAAATATTTTTTTTTGTTTACTAATTGTCCATTGTCATGATCTGAGAGAGATAGCCTGTATCTCTCCACAGGTGTGATAATGTATATATCTTCTGGTCAGCGTATGATCACCTTATAAACCCATTCGTCGACTAGGGCATAGTAGGGCACAAGAGCCATGATCACTCAATATCCTAAAAGAACTTAAGACATAAAAAAGAAGTAATTTAAATAATCTGATGTTAGTTTCACTTTGTTTTATTTACCAGGTTTCCCCAATGTCTATTCTTGCTATCCTGGGAAACGATGCCGAACCAATGAAAGACAAGATGCTGTCTCGTTTGTCTGCAGTGACAGAGGTTTGCCTTTCAAACTTTTTATTATTCTTTCTATTAATCAAATTAATCCTTGTCATTATTAAACTATATATTAATTCATATGTATATGCATTTTATATATAAATATGATTACATATACACCATTATGCTTCTGTAATTTACATCTTTGAAAATATGTCTACATCAAGATTTAAGAGATAAAATTAATGACATTTTATGTATTTTATCTATCTGGGTTACTGAAAAGTTCTTTAGATGACTCACATTTGAAAACCTGACCATCAGGTCAGGTTTTCAAATGTGAGTGTAACCCGGATATAAGAGAGTTGTCGGGACCGGAGAAGAAGTCTCTTATATCCGGGTTGGTCTATTTTGTTTAGGTAAGTATGGGCTCTAATTTGGGACCAGAGAAAATCTCTCTTATATCCGGGTTTCTCTTATATTCGGGTCTCTTATATCCAGGTTACACTGTATAAGAAATACCTTCTTGGTTAGGCTGTGAACTTTTAAGCATCTGTGTGTATGTGTTATTACAAACTGATTGCCACAACACAAAATATAAAAAGAAAAATGTTTAAAAAAAAAAAAAAAAGAAACGACTTGTTGCCAAAGGATATGGCCAAGATTTCCACTCTGCAGTGATAGGTTATCTCACAGGGTCAAATACAGAGATGAGGAGAAATAACCAATAGTAACAAATGACAAACACCAGCATAGAATTTAATTAGATAACAAAACAACATAGGAAATATGTCTGTATGGAAAGATGTGTGCATTGTAGGTGATATGAAAATAAAAAGGAGCATCCGTCCTGGGTAAGACGATAAACTACATTCAACAGCAATCAGGAGGTTTTGAGGAGCCTGGAACCACCTCTTAATTGCTGGTGTTCCCAGGTCCACTCTGACCTAGGGTTGTAGTACCTGTTAGAGTCCCAGCTATGAGCAAATAGCTGAGCACCAAACTATGGTCAAAACACCATGAAAGTGTAAAAATAGGTTTCAATACCAGCAATACATTTTTGTAAAAGGTTATCACCAGCAATGAATATTTGAAGAAAAAAAATTATTAACAGCAATACATTTTTGAAAAAAATATTACCAGCAATAAAAATTTTGTCAGCATTAAATAACCCATTAAGGTGTTGATATGCCGTAAAACAAATCAAACCAAAAGAAGCACTTAGCTTCTGTCCTTCATGTGAAATAAAACAAATTTTCTCTTTTCCTTTGCCTCTCTCTTTTATTTTTTCTTACTTTCCATTCAGTCCTTTTCACTATATATATATATATATATATATATATATATATATAATAGCGATAACAGAGATGTGAAACCAGAAATGCTCTCAATCAGTGGTAGTCTGGAAGAAAGGACATTTAGGGCAAGCAATCTTTGCAATAAAAAGCTTAATATCTGAGAATGAGCATTAATCATTATCATGGCTTAGCTTCACAAAATGAAGATCAAGATTGTCCTGGATAAGACATTAAACTTCATCTGGCACACTAACTGTACCTCTGCAAAATATAAAATGTATAAAAATTGTCTAAATGTTCTGCATATCCGGTGTTTTTGACTATTCTTTTAGCCATTATCAAGGATGATTTTTATTTTTATTTTTAACTGGATATATGGATTTTTTATGTATGTATCTAGAGTTATAGGAATGTTCTTTTATTTTCCAAACATGGTCAGCACATTGTGGCCATGTTCATAGTTCCTGTTATTGAATCTTTCTTTTTTTATTATTGGTTTCATTATTTTTAGTCTCTCTGGCAGGATTCAAACCTGAGAGCACATATTATTCTCAAATAAGCTTTCTTGAATATTCAGGCTGGGAGACGAAAATAAATACACATACTATTTAATATATAAACTGAGTATCTACTCAAATACGAGTATGCATTAAAAATAACATTTAAGTAATATGTGTGTGTGTGTGTGTGTGTGTAGTATTGACAATTAGAAAACATTTATGAAAGGACAGGATGGTCCGAAAGTCTTGTCACCCATACACAATAAGATTTTCTATTTCAACACTCTGTGGGGTATTATGGAGGTAAAAGTTTCACATGAATGATACTAGAATACCCATCAGTTGAGAAGCGCCATTCGGAGAGTCTTTGCAACAATCAACAAAGCACAGCTTCGTAAAATGTCACACAGAATATGGTTCCGCATCATTTTGTGTCACGTAAATGATGCTATTCATACAGACCTTCTCAATATGTGACAGCGTCAGTGAAAGTGAATAAACTGAATCCAGTACATATGCTTTGTATTACTGTCTTACTTGTTCTTCTATTGTTCTCATTACTTTTTGGTGATAGAGTGGGGTGGCACGACTTTCAATCCACCCTGTATATTGTCCCAGAAATATATCCGCTTATGCATTTCACCATTTAGGCTTCATCAGATTGAAAGTCAAAAAAAATGAGTTGCGTGTGTTTGTTTATCTAATAATGGAATCTTATTATTTTTTTTCCTAAGTATACACAAGTACACACTATTATATTTACATATGCTCTATCCCATATATTGAGCACTTTAATCCATAAATATAGCATACTTTAAAACTATATTTTATCATATATTATATGAAAAGATTACTTTTAAATATCAATTTTATCCTGACATTGATGTTTCTTGGTAAAATTTCCAGTCTTCAGGGGTTGTGGTTTTAAACAGTACATTTTTTTTTTTTTCAATTTGTTTCACATCTTTTACAATCCACTTTTTTTTACCACATTTTGTACACGTATTTAACGTTCTTTTACATGCACATGTTCATGAAATTTTACTTTGGGTCATGTTTTCGTCTTTTTTCTTCAAAATTAAATCAAATTTTTTTTTTCATGGTTTATATAGAATCTGTTATGTTATATTATTGTCATATTTGTTAATTTTTATTATTAATTATAATATTCTAATTAATATTTTAATTGATTTATTATGTTATATTGTTATTAAAGTAGCAAAGTAAATATTTGTTAACATGTCAGCATCAACCCATTATTTCATTCTTCTTTAATCATTTAATTATTAAAAGTTAATATTGATAATTTTTTTTCTAAACACAGTCTACAGTTCCTATTGGTAATATTATATGAAGGCCCCTCTTATGATATATATATATATATATATATATATATATATATATGTGTGTGTGTGTGTGTGTGATTTTTGCCATAAGTATCAGGCATAATTTAGGAAATGACTGTAAATTTTCAATATCATTATTTCTTCATTACAGGACTTACAGCTGAAAGTTGCCATTCTAGAGTTGCTGTCTGTGTGTGTTGTGACACAACCAGGTCTCATTGAACTTTTCCTCAACCTCAAGTTAGAGAAGCCAAACAAAGATGGAAAAAAGGTGAAAGGCCCTATTTTTAATTTTTTTGTCTATCCATCCTTTCAAGTAGAACAATGAAGATTGGTTTCAAAACTCAAGCTAAAATCATTTCTCATAGCAGACACAAAATATCCAAAATTCCATATCTAGAAACACTACGGAAAATATCCATAATTCCACATCTAGAAGCACCACAGAAAATATCCAAAATTCCACATCTAGAAGCACCACAGAAAATATCCAAAATTCCACATCTAGAAGCACCACAGAAAATATCCAAAATTCCACATCTAGAAGCACCACAGAAAATATCCAAAATTCCACATCTAGAAGCACCACAGAAAATATCCAAAATTCCACATCTAGAAGCACCACAGAAAATATCCAAAATTCCACATCTAGAAGCACTACAGAAAATATCTAAAATTCCACATCTAGAAGCACTACAGAAAATATTCAAAATTCCACATCTAGAAGCACCACAGAAAATATCCAAAATTCCTCCTCTAGAAGCACCACAGAAAATATCCAAAATTCCTCCTCTAGAAGCACCACAGAAAATATCCAAAATTCCACATCTAGAAGCACTACAGAAAATATCCAAAATTCCACATCTAGAACCACCTGCAGAAAATATCCAAAATTCCACATCTCGAACCACTGATTAATTAATTCTTTAGAATTTATAATTAAAAGAACATGGTCTTATTTCCTGTTTATATCGGTTTTCAGGGAAAATTGAGTTCATGCCTTATGAATATGCTTGAATATATAAGCAGTTAGAAATTTGAACTGAACTCACAGATTCTATTGGGTTGGCCAAAAGGTTTGTTTAGTTTATTAAATAAATTTTCTACTTAATAAACAATCTTTTTGGCCAACCCAGTATTTTCCAAGAACCTAATGCCGTCTTGTACTTATATAGTTGATGAAAAATTCTCGGTCTGAGCTATTTTCTTGTAACTGACCAAATATTGGAATGTCTTTTTGAATGGCATCTTTAAATTTGAACCTTCAGATATATGTATACATAGTTTAGATCTGAGATTAGTACTAATGTGGATAAAGTTTTAATTTCAATGTTAAACACACTAAAGAATTGTATATGGATTTTATTCAAACCAATTTTTTCACTTTTTTTTTCTCACTTTTCGGCTATGTACTCTCCAGACTTCATCAGAAAAAAGTGAGGTAACATCTTTAACAAATTTCAGGGTAGTAAAGAATTGAATTTATAAAAAAAATATTTTGTTTACTTGATTTTTCTCATTGCAGGAATTGCTGTTGGGAAACTCCAGTTGTCTTAACACTGTGATGAATTTAATCATGTCAGAAAAACAGGTAAGTCAGGATCATTATAAGATTATTTGCTATTTCTTGCTTAAGATGATATGAAGCCCTCCTTGAAGTTTTTTCTTTGTTCACAATCTGAATTGCTGTTGAGCAATCAATGTCAAGAATTTTGTTCAAAGATCAAATTTAGGTCACAGTACCTCTTGAGATGCCAACTTCCTAGACAGCAGAGTGACGATGAATATGTTTGTATATTCCAGTTGATTTATTTGATCTGCTAAAGAAATATAACACCACCACCACCATAATGGACTAATTTCTGCAGGAAGTAGTTAATATATTGTCATCAGGAATTATCATTTATACTTAAATCATGGGGATGGGTACAAGATTTTATCAGTGCTTCATCAGACATTTTAAAAACTATATATATATATATATATATATATATATATATATATATGAATGAATTTGTAGGTCTGATGAATTTGATTATGATTCCAATGTAATAAATTATAACCATGGAATATTAGTGTTCGAGCCTTTTATATTATATTCTTACTCTGTCCTGGACATTGAGTTCTACCTGGATTCTACCCTCTTGGGAATTTTATATATATAGGAGGCACTGTGGAGTAATGGATAGCGGCTTGGATTGAGGAATCGGGGAGCTGAGTTCGAATTCCAGTCGAATCCATTACATTCATTTACATGCTAATACCCTTGGGAAAGGTGTGAATCTTCTCCCTCCAGCTATGGGTAAAATAGCAGGACAGACTGGGTTCTATAGCCTTGGATAGCAACTGGTCTAGGAGAAGGACAACACTGAATTAAAAAACCTGTGGCGCATAGTGCACTAGGTCTCTGTATTTGGCCCTTCAAAAATTGTGGATGGTCCTGCACAAAATCTTTACCACTATAATCAAATCTCATGTGCTGTTGTCGGGCTGTCAGTTTCATAAGAACTGATTTGTTTGACCCTCATACATCGAATTCAACAGGAGAGTCGAGTATATATATATATATATATATATATATATATATATATATATATATAAAGTTATTGAACAGAGTTGAATTAGACCATGAAACAGTAGTATTAAAAAGTGCTCAATACATGTATAAAGAAAATAAAATTAAATAAAAATTTAACATGCAGAGCTTTTAAATTTAAATAACTAGAAGATAAGCTGATCACGCTACACTGGTTTCAAGACTCATCAGAGATTAAGAAAAAACAGACAAAAAGACAGAACTTTAGTATTTTCAATTTTGTTTGGGTCAGTATCTGTCTATATTTCTGAGATGAGGTATTATGTACATTATTTACATTATTCGGACACTTGTCCTCATATTTGTCATCATATTTATTACAATGTTTCAGCCATTGTACGCCCTGCCTTTCTTCAGGTGGTTGGAATGTCAAACTGAACCCTTTATTTCACTCACTGGGGTAGACTGTTCTAGTTCCACGTACCATGCTTTATTAGATATAATAAATTATTTTATATTTATAATATTCTAAAAACCAATACAATTTTTATCATTTACCAGTTTATAAAGAAATAAATATGAAAACAATTTTTTATTCATAAATTTATAAACTTTTACTAAATTATTAAAACATGTGAACAAACTATAAGTAAATTCTTATCATTTACCATTTTATAAAGTTTGAATCAATTAGCAATTAGTCGATGTTTTGCCAACCATTCCAATAAATAAGATAATAAATAGTGTAAATAAACAATCTAATGATGTTTATTATTTTTGTTGTTAATTTTCAAGAACAAAGAAAATGTATAAATTCACTTTTATCATATGTTTAGGTTTTATTACAATTCTAATCATCACTTTTTAAAACAATAAACATTGCCAAGGTGACAATTTAGTTAAAATAATACTGGCATTGTAGGAAATCTTTGCCAGCACAAAGGTCCATTTTTGCCAATTGATCAATCTTCCTCTTACATTGATATCATGCATCTTATACATTACCTGCTTTAGAGGGCTCTTGGGCCTTGTATGAAGTGTATATTTAGGTGAAAATAAAATATCTGGCTTGTACACCTGAAGAAGGCTGTAGAATGAATTGGCTGAAATGTTTTATTAACATCAAGAGCAACATAAAGAATAAGTTCAGTCATTTCTTGAAATGACAATGACTCTTCTCAGAATATAAAGGATTTGTATTCTGATCCATTCTTAACTGCATTTTGAATCCAGAGCTGCAAAATCAAATACTCATTGTTGCCTTAACTGTTGAATTTGGTCTCTTTTATTTTTCAGAAAACTTACCAGTGTCCGCCAAATCTTTTGTGCGCATGCATAGAGTTTTTACATGCTCTCTGGGGTGGAATGCGAGAAACTGCAATGAGTGTTCTTCGAAAGATCAATTACTTCTGGCCTAGTATATGTGAGCCGTTAAAGAGAAACATTGGAGATGAAAAAGATGACAGTGAAGAGGTAAGTTGCCTAACTCCTACTTCCATTGAGAACTTCCTTTGTTAGCAATGTATTTGGATATTTACTTGACCCCGCCACTGAGTCATGTTGTGACACAAGGTCAGTTTTTAACATGGGGACTGATTTTCCAAGCGTAGCTTAGATGTGGCACAAGGCCGAAAGTAGGAGGCACCCAGTGAGGAACTCACTATTCAGTCATAACTTGTTCTAGTGAGACAAGCTTGTTAACCATTACACCGCCCCGAGGGGCCCAATGTATTTGATAGTGATTTAAGATAATAGATGGTGAAGTAGGCAGTGGAAGCAGTGATTGCCTGAGATCTTCTGGCTAGATATCTCGAAAGAAATTTTATTTTCCCAGGTCTTCTTACTCTGGCAGGAAACCAATGATTTCAGATAATTCATAGATGGTGAAGAAGGCAATAAAAGAGTGATTTTTCCAAGAGCAGTTGATACGATATTCCGTGGATATGATGTCATACTGAAATATCCAATTTTCTGTTACACTTACTTCAGACACATAGACATGAACAGAATTACAGTTGGCATTGACATTGAAAAAGTAAATATTTCGAATGTTGCATTTTCATGTTTAAAGCATTTTGTTTACATTGGGGTTTTTATTTCCTTACTAGCAGTAGAACCTGGCGTTGCCCGGGGATGTAACAGTAAGACATAGATCAAGTATCGACCATCATAAAGACTGAAAAATAAAATTGACAAAGATTATTGTTTAAGGTTGATGGACACGCATGTCTTAATTAGTTTTTTTTTTTTTTTTTACGAATTAGTCAAACTCAAACAAAAACATTGTTTTCAATCGTTATGAGTCTACCGATTGAATAGAATTTTATTATAAACAATTGTCTTGTAAATGGAATTTTTAAAGCATTCTGAATGTAAAAATAAAAAAAAAGTGTGCAAGACAATAAGAAACACTACCTGCCAAAAAAAAATGAAGTTTTTTTGAAATCGGTTGAAAAATGTAGGAAATCCGATCCCATATATAAACGAACATACACACACACACAAACAACCTGGGTTTTATAATAAGTATGATTGAAGGATATTCTGTTAAAAAAAAAAAAAAGCACTTAAGGCTTTTTTGTTTCCTTTAAGTCTTCTCTTATGTTTCAGGTATCCTAAAACCTAATGATTCATTTCAATAAATTTGTTTTGCACAAACAAAAGTATAATAGAAAAACTTGAGTTTTGATGAGTGCTGTGCTGTTAGTTGTATGCTTATATGTGTCAAATAAAAACGAACACACATTTCAAGCCTTTATGTTTTATTTAGTACTTGATAACAATAGATGTAAAACATGACCAGTGATTACTGGTAGATTTAAGTTCGATACATGACTTCTGCTAAAAATAAAGTTTGAAATAATAAAAATGCTTAAGGTGTCCTGGGAGATTAACGATTAAGAGTTTGAAAAATTTAATCAACAAGGAAAATTCAAATTTCAGCTGAGAGTATTTACCTACTTACACACTTGGGAAGTCATGAACTTATCCATTCTTTCTTGCATTATAGGTTAAATCATAAAGCAGACTTTAGCCTTGGTTGGCAACTAATCTAAGAGTAGCCCAAGCCTGAATTAAAAACCATTGATAAGACTACTCAGGACTGCTTCAGTATTTCCCCTGAAGAGCAATATTGGTTCTCTACACCATTCTTTTCTTTAAAGAAAATAAGTTCTAGAGCTTGGAGAAGCTTGATTGCCTACATGTGACTTAGAGAATGGGCTTCTGTCCATATCATGTTCAAACACCAGTCCCCATACAATCACCAAAGTTAAGCAATGTCGAACTTGGTCAGTACCTAGGTGGGTTACCACTTAAGAATACTAGGTGCTGTAAGCTTGGATATGCAGGTGGTGTAATGGATAATGGCTTGAAATTGTTAATCACAGAACCAAGTTCCAATTCCAGTTAGGTTCATTATATTCATTTATGTGGAAATAACCTTTTGAAAGGTAGGAATCTATCTCTTCTCCCCCAGCTATAGGTTAATTAGTAAGACTTTCATCATTAAATTGTTATCTCCCCCCCCAAAAAAAAAATCTTACGGCTTTAAATAACCTGCAAAGGGTTGATAATACAGTTTCTACTTTTTTTCACTGTTTAATGTTTGCCTTTTTTTTTTCTTTTTTTTAATCTGGTTCTTAAACAAGTTATTTGAAAAACCTTTTCATTTTTTTTTTATTTGTTTCAGACACAGCTCTCTTGGTTAGCTGATATCAAAACAGTGGCTTATGTTTTCATGATTTTAGCCCATGAGAGTTACTCAGTCCCAAGGTAGGCTACCATTCACACCATTATAGGAATTCTTTATTCAATTGATTATAAGACTTTGATGAGATTTGAAATTTTTTTTTATTAAAAAAAAGAAACCTTGCGGAATTGTACGATCAGCACTGTGATCAAAAATATTAATATTTTTTTTTCAAATTTTTGTTTCATATTATAGATTGAGCACTCCAGATCAAAAATATAAATTTTTATTATCCTATTATAATTGTGCTTGTCTCTCCCTTTTTTTAGTTTGCACAACCGTTGTGCCCTGCCAATACCTCATAAATAATGGACTATTCCGTTTTGATTGCGTGGAAAGAGGGGAAAAGACACTGCTTCATTTCAGTGAAAAAATAAAAGAAAGAAAAATAGAAATGGAAAGAGAGAATCAGATTAAGCTGATGAGAACAGATACTACGTTTTGATCTCAGCCCAAAGCCCCAGAACAATGGCAACTGCGATATAAGGGCTTTTTTTTTTAAGATACAGGGTATCAAAATGATGGAAACAGAGTAAAGCAATCATGAAAAATTCAGTTACCATAAATAAAATAATATTGTTTGCTGAATTATTTTAAAATTATTATTAAGAGAAATGTTCATAAGGTGGGAATTTGGCTAGTTAGTGTGATTATTAAATTTATGAGGTGAAAGGGCATTTTTTATTATCATAATCTGAAGTAATAGTTGAAAAAAGTGCTGTCCAGAAAACAAATTTTTAATTTTTTAAATTTTCAGAGATCACATGATTTTATGTTGGCTTAATTAGGTGGGGATCAATTGAAAATAGATTTACATTACAAACTGGGACCATTATTAACTTTAACGATATTTAATAAAAAATATTTTTGATATTTGTTATCTGGAGTGCTGTGATATCACATTGAAATACCAGTTCTCATACAGTCACAAAAACATCATTATCAGTTAAGCAATGTTAAGTCTAGTCAGTACCTAGATGAGTGACTACTTGGGAATACCAGGTAAATTTGGATGTGCAGATGATGTAATGAATAATGGCTTGGAATTAGAAATCAAAGAACCAATTCCAGTTGAGTTCATTATATTCTCTTATGTGCAAATATCCTTAAGAAAGGTATGAATTCACGTATTCTCCCCCCATACCTATGGGTTAATTAGTAGAACTTGTATTCATAAATTCTTGTTATCTCAAAAAAATTCTTACAATGTAAAAATATTTTGTGGCTTTAAATAATAAGCAAAAGGTTGATAAGCCATAAAAAAACAATCCGTCTGGAGTATTTAATATATACAAAAGATGTTGTAATACTGTGATAAAACCACGATTGAGAATTAGTGACAGTCAAGAATTTTGATTTCAACTAGAGGTCAAGTGTTCTCATCATAAATAATTGACTGTGACCTGATTTTGATGAAAACAGCTCTTATTTTGAAAGACATACTTGCAACATTAGCTTAGTACAAAGCAAATTTGGCTGTCAAGATTTAATTTAAAACTGCCTCCAAAATGTACCAATGCTGGACACAAAACAACTGGTAATGTGATATAGCCACCATCAACTGCAAATAGAATGATCAGACATACAAAACTTGAGCAATAATTCTGTTGCTTTTCATGGTTATTAGATGAATATTCATCTGAAAGCTTCACTATAGAATGTTTAATCTATATGATTCATGGAGACTGGTTGATTGATTTGATTTTTTAATGACTTATTAACATTGAATGCAATCTTCAGGCCATATGTGTTGTTTGAGCTTGACTGTTTATATATGCTTAACACTGGCGCATTATAGGTAGCAAGGTCTATTATCCTAATAATGGTTATATTTCAAATCATTCTATAGGCTATTGAGTAGAAATAATTGCATATCTATAAAGGTTTATTTATAGCTTTTGTAAATTGTTGCTTGTTATCAATTGTTATTCATTATTTATTATTGATTACTTGGTGTATTTTCATTATCTGCATTATACATAGTGCATATATTTGCATTTTTCATGTTGATATTTGCTGATATTTTACAAGATTTATTTTTAGTGAATTAGGTTAATAATACTAGAAAGAATTAACTAAGAACAGTGTTAGGAGTAAACAGGTAGAAAAACACAGAAACAACCATAGACTGGTTCTGTAACCTAAAAAACAAACCTAATTGTGAATTTATACAACTAGATATAAAAGATTTCCACTCTTCAATAACTGAACCCATGCTAGAGTAGCCATCTCCTTGGCTCAAGAACAAGTAAAAGTAAGCACAAATGAAGTAAAAATTATCAAGCACTGCCAAAAATCAATATTATTCAACAATGAAGACAAATGCTAAAGAGAGAAGTAGCGTTTGATGTTACATTGGGAAGTTTTGATGGTGATATCTGCTAGCTTATAGGCATACATTTACTACCTGAACTAGACAAAACAATTGATAAAAATGATGTAGGCCCCTACAGGGATGAAAATCTCATAATCTAAAGATGCTGTAACAGGCAAAGAAAAATTATGACAAAAACTTTCAAAAATATAGTATTTGACATAGACATAAAAACAAATCTAAAAGATGTATATTTCCAAGATGTCACACTCAACTTAAAAGGTACATATCAACCATATATTGGGTTGGTGCATAATTATCAAGCATTTTTCAACAATATTTATTATGAAAAAAGAAACATAAAAATTAAACAATAACATTTTTAAATGAGTATGATTATTGACACACATTTTTATAACCTGAAAATAAAATAATATATTTTTGTTAAAAAAGGTAACAAAACAGCAATTTTTATTAACAAATAAATCGCCTAGAAAAACGCCTGATAATCATGCACCAACCCAATAGGAAACACAATGACAAACAACTTTACATACACATGTCTTCCAACCACCCACCAACAATAATCAAGTTGATCCCACAATTGAAGGGGGTTTCATTTGAAGAATTGTCAGATAACCTCTTTAACTGCTTTTGTTGAATGTGGTTTCATTCGAAGAATTTAGTCAAAAAAGATTATGAAACAAACCTAAAACCGTCCTGGGTATGACGATAAACTACATCTGTGTCCTGGGTAAGACGATAAACTACGTCCAACAGCAAAGCCTCTGATCAGGTTTTGAGAAGCATAGAACCACCTCTTAATTGCTGATGTTCCCAGGTCCACCCTGACCCGTGGGTGGTAGCACCTGTTAGGGTCCCAGCTATGGGCAAATAGTTAACACCCCCAAACTTGGATCAAAACATTATGAAAGTGTAAAAATGGGTTTTAATAGCAGAAATACTTTATATAAAAAATTATTACCAGCAATACATTTTTGAAAAACAAATATTACCAGCAATACATTTTTTGAAAAAAAAATATAACCAGAAATAGATTTTTGGAAAAAAAAAATATTACCAACAATGAAAATTGTCGGCATTAAATAACCCATTGAGGTTAATATGCTGTAAAGCAAAGCAAACCAATCCTAAAAGATAGTAGATTTTTTGGCAACATTTATATACACACCACACAGTACAAAAAAAGGTCAAAAGAAAATGAAACCCTATATAAAAACATCATATCATATTTTTTTTTGGTGAGACAGAACTGGGATTAATCTCACACAAAGCACGATGGGTTCTACCTGACAGACAATCTTAGTTTACCTCTCCACATATGCCTGTCAAAATACTGTGACTTGTAATATAATTTGAGGCAAATACTCTTCCTGACATTCAATTCAGACACTCATGGTAGTTCAAGTATACTATATGTTTTTATTGGGACATCAGCTCTGAGAATGTTGACATTCAAGACTTGAGACCCTGTCCTAACCTTACATACACATATTGGTCATTGACTCCTATAACAAGCTCATCCACCCTTTGACAGGTCTTGTTTCTCATTTTGTGGGGTGACATGCCACCCTCCATACAGCAGTTTGTATTGGATTACATGTTACCAGTAGCAGGCCTAAATCTGACCTGACAACAAATTTTGGAAAAATATTCATTAAACTTGTACACAAACACTACCCTTCCATCAAGCACTCTCTACAAGATATTCAACAGAAGTTTTTTTTCTGAATTATCAAAAATCTCAGATGAGGTTAAAATAGAAAAACATGTCAAATTTGTAAAGGTTTTCTTGATGTAATCATATATAATAAAGTGTGATCTTTGTTTTCAGAGACAAATTGGAAGAGAGTTTTAAAGCAGAAATGGCTGTTCTTTCCAAACAGAACCGGATCCAATATTGGTCTAATGTAAGGATTGAATTCTTTTGTTCTTTGAGAAAAATAATTATTATTATTTTTCTTATTATTTCACTCATTGAATTTTCATGCTGTATCTAATGGAAATTTCTGCTGATTAAGTAACAAGTCCTACACAATAATCATGCTGATTTTAATAATGCAGTCATCTAGATAATTTAATATTTTTTTCTGGATTTCCAATTCTTTTATTATGCTTGCATTTTCTGCATTTGTGTGTTCCCAGCAAATGTCTTATAGTTCTTGTTTGTGGATTGAATGACAAGTTTCCAACAACTTGCAGACCAACAGCTTGCATGGTTATCAGCTAGAGTTGATACAATGGCAGTGCTGGGCTCTATAAGAATGAATTCAGTACTTTGTGATTGTCTAGAGTCAAGATAATCATGCCAAAAAAATCATTGGATTTTCTAACCTTCATTATTTGAGGAAAAACATATTCTGCCTAATAATTGTTGAGACATTTGCTTACACATTTCATATACTAAATGTATCAACTATTATGGGACAGAGATATTTCTTACTACATCTGTCCCATAATCAATGAGACATTTGCCTACACATTTCATCCACTAAATGTATCAACTATTATGGGACAGAGATATTTCTTACTCCATCTGTCCCATAATCAATGAGACATTTGCCTACACATTTCATCCACTAAATGTATCAACTATTATGGGACAGAGATATTTCTTACTACATCTGTCCATAATCAATGAGACATTTGCCTACATTTCATCCACTAAATGTATCAACTATTATGGGACAGAGATATTTTCTTACTACATCTGTCCCATAATCAATGAGACATTTGCCTACACATTTCATCCACTAAATGTATCAACTATTATGGGACAGAGATATTTCTTACTACATATGTCCCATAATCAATGAGAGATTTGCCTACACATTTCATATACTAAATATATCAATTATTATGGGACAGATATTTCTTATTCTTTGTTGAGGATATCTGGTGATATCTTTGCATGTGCATATATATATATATATATATATATATATATATATAGGCGTGTGGCTGAGTGGTTAGAACGTTTGCATTCTGACCATGAGACCCTGGTTCAAATCTAAGCACTGTTGATTTGTCAGGAAGGAGACTTCCTGATGTTATTGGTCAGCATGCGGCACCTTTGGAAAGTGCCTGAAAACCATACTACGGGTTTGTGAGTGAAATTTGGTAGACGGAACACTTGAGGGCTGTCAGTAGCTGTGCTAGCACAAAGTCACAAGTCATCGTGACCGAGAGTTTGAGTGTGCTGGCCTTGTTCAGATTGCTGATCACACTAGATAACACACTCTCTCCCAGAAACTGTAACTAAAGTCTGCTCAGCATAGTTGCAGTATAAACCACTGGTGGGCTCTGTCGGTGTTGAACAAACACAAATGTACCTGAGCAAGTGTCTACAATAGGGATTGTCTATCTGCCCTAATAAACAAGTATCCTCAAATACAAGTGGCCAGCTATCATATATATATATATATATATGAGTTCAGTTTTTCTATTCCTAACCAATTGTAATAGTAGGCCTAACCTTCCAGCATGTCATTGATAAGAGAATAAAATCACAAGTAATTACTTTTATTCAGTTTATCCGAAAGTCACTGCATGAAGCGTCCAAGAAAGAAAATATGGATGCCTACCTGACTGCAGACACTCTCAAAGATGATCCAATCCTATTGCTACTTAGATCCTGGAAAAATTGGTTGATAACAATTACCAAACTGAAGGTAAATCTTTCTTCTTTTCTTTTTTTTTTACTCAAATCAGCTTCTATAATTAGAATTTACAGACAGAATAATATCAAAGATTTTTACTTGCATCAAAAATTTGATATCAGTTGTTATTGTCTAAGATGTATCATAAAAATCTTATATTTATTTGCAATAATTATTTGGCCTATCAATTCTTATTAGGTTTCTTATATGTTTTTGTGGAAAGATCTTTGAAAATGCAGGGAGTATTGTCAATGGTCAGGAATTAGGATAGAGATGCATTGTTAATCAGAAGGGAAAGAATTGTCAGTGGTCAGGAATGAATGCAAGCATTACTGATAGAATAGGTTTATATGTATAATGTAAATGCATTGCTAATTATTTTACTATAGGAATGCATTGAAAATGAGGAAGAAAGGGATTGTCAGTGGTCAGAATGAATGCAAGAATAGGGCATTACTGATAGAATAGGGTCTATCATATATATATATATAAATATAATAATGCAATGCTAATGATTTTACTATAGAAAGGGATTGTCAGTGGTCAATAATGAATGCAAGCATTACTGATAGAATAGGTTTATATGTATAATGTAAATGCATTGCTAATTACTTTACTATAGGAATGCATTGAAAATGAGGAAGAAAGGGATTGTCAGTGGTCAGGAATGAATGCAAACATTGCTAATAGAATAGGGCTATTATATGTATAATGTAAATGCATTGCTAATGATTTTATTATAGGAATGCATTGAAAATGAGGAAATGGATTGTCAGTGGTCAGGAATGAATGCAAGCATTACTGACAGAATAGGGCTATTACATGTACAGGATGCGACGGATAAATTGTCCTTTAATAATACTGACATCTTATTTTAACAGATATATTTACCAAAATTTCACAAAAATATGTTGAAATACTAAAGGGTAAATTTATTCAATAAAATCACCATTAACTTCAAATACAGCCTCCAGGTGACTTCAGAATCTGCTGCAACTCTGCTGAATGTTCTCCTTGTTTAAGTTGGTGAATGCTACCATAATCCTTGCCTTCAATCCATCTTTGGTGTTATAAGGATTTTTGGTGTTATAAGGATTTTTGGTGGTCTCTCTCTCTCAACTGCACCCACACATAATAATTAAAGGATTTGCAGTTGGGGTGATAGGTGGTCAGATGTAAGGGGTGATGTGGTCACAGAAATTGTCTTGACAGCCATGACTGGATTCTCCTGCTTGTGTGGCATGATGCAGATTCCTGTTACCAGACATAGGGTCTTCCAACAGCCACCCTTTTGACCCAGAGCACCACTACCTCCTCAAGGCACTTGATATAGGCCTCTGTGTCTGAAGTCCTGTGGGAAGATGAATGAAGATGAATGGAAGCATAACATCATCATCACTAGTGATCACTCCAAACGAAATGATGTTGATTGGATATTTGATTTTCATCACTCTCAGTACATCCTTTGGGGACACAGAAAGCCAACAGTTTTTCTGAGTGTTCACTGTCTTATCAGCAGAAATCTTGTTTGAGAAAAACCAAATCATGTTCAGTTGAAGGGGATGCTAAAGTTTGTTCAAAAGCTTTCCAAACTACCATACCTTTGTAATCACCATTAGACTCATCCAACACTTTCCAACTCCTATTCTGTGTTCTCAGATTGACACCCAAACACTCTGAAATGTTTGTATTGTAGCTTCCAGCACAAATGCCCAGCACTATAGCATGCCATTTCCAATTTTCTAGCAGAGTAAATTGCATCATGGTGCTCATTTTCTAACAGATGGTGCCCAACTGACCCTACTATACTGTGCAGTCAACAAAATCAAACAACACACAGGTGCAAAATTAAAAATACAAAAAGATGACAATTTAACCATCCCACTCTGTATAATGTAAATGCATTGCCGATGATTTTACTGTAGGAATGCATTGAAAATCAGGAAGAAAGAGATTGCAAGTAGTCAGGAATGAATGCAAGCACTACCATTAAAATAGGACTTTATATTTTTAATGTAAATCTGTTGCCAATGATTTCAATATAGAAATGATATCAGGAAGAATGTTATGATGTCCTATCTTACTTCAAATTTATTATAACACTTTGAGAAGAATTTAAAATCCAAATATCTTGAAAATGGATAATTATAAAAATTTTAATTGTCTGCTTAATTTCAAGAATTGTTTTATATTTGTTTATAATTAAAAGTACAAGAATTTCTTCAAAACCTTTCTGCAGAAACAGAACAATTCCATTTATGTTAACAGCAACAACAATGGCATATATTCTTCTTCTTTTATGTGTCATTTCCCCTAAGAAAGTGGGCGAACATGGCTCTCCACAACTTCCTATCCTTTATAGCTCTTAGTAAGTTTTGTCTTTTCTCTTTCCCTTTTCTGCCATTCATTTATGCTAACTCATTTCACTTTGCTACTCTTGTCTTCAATATTCCTGATGAGTGTCAAATTTGTCAGGCCTTCTTTCCTTTTGTTTCCCTGAATGTTCATTTTTCACTTTGTACACGTCATTTTTGTTTCTATTACTCTTAAGACTTTCTCATTACTTACATGTTTAGTCCACAGTATTCTCAGCATCCAACTGTAGAACTATATCTTCTCTTCATCTTTGAGGGGATTGTCCAGCACTCACTGCCTTACATAACAGTTCAGTAATTTTTGTTTTTAATGAAATTTTCATGTTTCTTAATAGTTTGCTTAGCCTTTAGAAAGAATGTTTGCTATTCCTATGTGCCTCTGGATGTTGGTGTTGCATTTTCTGTCATCTATTAAAGCACTTGCTTGATTTTGACATCTCCAATTCATAATCATATTTTGAGATGTCCCTTTTGTTGACAACTGTACATTCTGTCTTCTTACAATTGGTGTTTAGTCCTTTCTTCTCACTTTCCTTCACTACCTTCTCAAGGAGTTTATGCAGTTTCCTTTCTGTGTTTGCTCTCAATAAACTTTATATTTTTTAATTTTCAGGTTCCTGGTGTCATTCTTACGGAAGAACTCAAGATACAGATATTATCAGATCTTCTTAGCAGCATTCAATGTTTGGTAAGGCATCTTGTCTTGGACCCCCATTTTTATCATACTAATAAGTAATGTTATTTAATACATTGACCATTCAATAACTGTGACCATAAATTAATTTCCATGGTATAGTGGATATTATGCTTAACTATTACTCTGTGGAACGGACTCATAAGAGGATGTTTCCTTGATCACTACGATCTTAACCTCTTCAAGTTTGGAATCAATCCTTGTTTATCCCTTCCCACAGTCAGGGCAACCCCTACCCTGTCTGAGCAACAAAATCATAAATTTAGAAACAAGAACAAAAAAAAGTAAACTTTTTTTTTAAAGCCTAAAAAAACAATCAGATAATTATAAGATTTCATTGAACTTTCTGCAAATTATTTGATAAATAAAATTATTTTTTAAAGGTATTTTTTTTTTAAATTTTGCAGTAGTTTAGAGCTGTCATTGAATGAAAATATATATGTGCATGTACAAATGTACATGTGCATGCAATTTGAATGAACTTCAAATTGACATTTTCACTTGAGTGGATTTCTTTTCTACCTGGCAACAACCCTTGGTCAAAACAATAAAAGGATATAAGCTGAAATGGGCAATCCTTTTTATAAGTCCTGTATTTAAACTGAATATATTTTCACTTAAATGCTGTATTTTAAAATGAAAAAGAATTTAGATTTGAAATTTGATCATCTTGCCATCAGGAAAGTGACACGTATCAAACTAAGATCATAAATGCCAGTTCAAATAAATGACTTTTCTATTTAAACTTAATATCTTTTCCCTTAAATGCAGTACTTTCAATGGATAAACAATTTAGAGTTGAAATTTGATCTACTCGCTGTCAGTAAAGTGTGGGTATCAAACTACAGGACATCTGAAGTTATGCAAATTGCATAAACCTCCATAATTCAAATTTACTTTAAAAAAAAAATTTTGTCAAATTTTGATTAATTTAGATGTCAAAGCAAAGCTTGAGTTAAATTTTTAGCTAGTTTCAATATGTTTTATTAAGCATTGGCTTGCTAGCTGTTATTGAGAAGAAAGGTCACTATATTAAGATGTAAATGCTTCACACACTTATCATATATTTTGTGCACCTCATAGTGGTGTAATGGTTAGCAAGCTTGTCTTCCTAGAACAGTTACGACTGAGTAGTGAGTTCGATTCTCACTGGGTTCCCACTACCTTCGGCCTTGTGCCACATCCTAGCTACGCTTAGAAAATCATTTGGATACATCAACGTGGTTTAATGGTTAGCAAGCTTGTCTCGCTAGAACAATTATGACCGAGTAGTGAGTTTGATCCTCACTGGGTGCCCCATTCTTTCGGCCTTGTGCCACATCTGAGCTACGCTTGGAAAATCACTATATGTTTATTTGTTCTATTACAGGTATTCATCAATTGTTGATTATTTTATTAATTTGTTATTGAATTGATTTTCTGGTTTTGCATAATAACTTCATTCTGCAGTTTTTATAATAAATCCAATAACTTTAATAAAGTTTTAAATCTAGCTATATATTTAACTCAGGCTCTGTTTTGACATCTAAATTGTTTTTAAATTTGACAAAAACGTTTTCAAAGCAAATTTGAGTTGTTAAGATTTATATGATTTGTAGAACAGATGGACAGTAGTCAAATTTAAAATCAGAGCAAAACATGCAACAGGACATTTTTCTTACTTTTTTTTTTTAACATAAATGTAATTTATGCTGATTTTTATATATATATATATATATAATTGCAAAAAGTATGTTATCACATCCTCTAGAAAATACCATGATAGGTTGAAACCTTTTCATTGTTTTTATACAATGTATGTTCAAAAAGTATTTTTCCAGTCAAAATTAATGCTGTGTGGACAAAATCCATTGGGTGGGAGGTGATGCCACACTTCCTGCATATGCATGAAAATTTTTGTGCCAGTAGGCCTATTGTTATACCTAGGGTACAGATGTATAGTGCCTGCTCATCGGATTTTCGTTTTCACCCAAGATGACTAAACACCTCAAGCAAAGATATATTTCACCAAGATTTTCTAATCAAGAACAACACACAACTTGTATGCCATGCTCCCTTCTCTCCAGAAGTGGTAACATGTGACTTCTGGCTGCCTTCTCTCCAGAATTGGTAACATGTGACTTCTGGCTGCCTTCTCTCCAGAATTGGTAACATGTGGCTTCTGGCTGCCTTCTCTCCAGAAGTGGTAACATGTGACTTCTGGCTCCCTTCTCGCCAGAATTGGTAACATGTGACTTCTGGCTCTCTTCTCTCCAGAATTGGTAACATGTGACTTCTGGCTGCCTTCTCTCCAGAATTGGTAACATGTGACTTCTGGCTGCCTTCTCTCCAGAATTGGTAACATGTGGCTTCTGGCTGCCTTCTCTCCAGAAGTGGTAACATGTGACTTCTGGCTCCCTTCTCGCCAGAATTGGTAACATGTGACTTCTGGCTCCCTTCTCCAGAAATGGTAACATGTGACTTCTGTCCTTCTCCAGAAGTGGTAACATGTGACTTGCCCCTTCTCTCCAGAATTGGTAACATGTGACTTCTGGCTGCCTTCTCTCTAGAAGTAGTAACATGTGACTTCTAGCTCCCTTGTCTCCAGAATTGGTAACATGTGGCTTCTGGCTGCCTTCTCTCCAGAAGTGGTAACATGTGACTTCTGGCTCCCTTCTCGCCAGAAGTGGTAACATGTGACTTCTGGCTGCCTTCTCTCCAGAATTGGTAACATGTGACTTCTGGCTGCCTTCTCTCCAGAATTGGTAACATGTGACTTCTGGCTGCCTTCTCTCCAGAATTGGTAACATGTGACTTCTGGCTCCCTTCTCTCCAGAATTGGTAACATGTGACTTCTGGCTCCCTTCTCTCCAGAATTGGTAACATGTGACTTCTGGCTCCCTTCTCTCCAGAATTGGTAACATGTGACTTCTGGCTCCCTTCTCTCCAGAATTGGTAACATCTGACTTCTGGCTCCCTTCTCTCCAGAATTGGTAACATCTGACTTCTGGCTCTTCCCCAATCTAAAACCATGCAATTTCCATTCTACCTTTGCTGTTCCACCAGCACCTTGGGGACAAATTTCACCGACTCTCTTCACATGCACAAATCCTTTGTCAAAGTGGAATGCACTGATCCTGTGCTTATTCCTATTTCAGCTTGTTGATGTCCTACCTGAACATGCCTTGCTCTCCACTGAGATGTGGCCATGTTTGAAGTTGTTGTACCACTCCTTGATCTGAGTTTTGCCTATGGTATCATCACCAATGGCCTGCTGAAACTTCTGGATGATTTGAGCTTGAGTATCACCAAGCTTTTAGCAAAACTTGATGCCAATGCGTTCAGACATCTTGCATGAAAACAAAAATCGGAAATGTGTACACTGCACATCTGTATTCTCGGTGTAACAATGGGGAACTGATGTGGCCTAATGGCACAAAAATTTTCATGTATGCACAGGGAAGGTGGTGTCACCTTCCACCCAAAGGATTTTGCTTATTTGCTATAAGTTTTTTGGGGGGAAAGTAAAAATCAATACTTTTTGAATGCACTTCATATATACAATTTATTTCTCTACAATTTTGAATTTCATTTGTAGGTGCTGGAAACTATTTACATTAAGTCCTACCAGCCGTCTCTGTAAGCAGGAGTGTTTCTTAGACTTAAATGTGATTAAATTATGATGGTTATATATTTGTTATATAGGAATTTGTCTTCAGTGTTCATTTTAGTCACTGTGCATATTTCTTGTCTTCAATTGGGCTCTGATGAGAAAGAACTGATAAACCAGTTAAACATCATTTTTTTTTTTAATTCTGTTATATTTTAATGTCACAACTTTACAGTAATATTTTTTTCGTATTTTAACATCTCTATTTTTACCACTTCAATGTATTTGTTATCTTCAGGTGAAAGACAATGTCTCTGTTTATAATCTGAAGTTGGCTTGCATTGCTAGTGCTACATACTTTACAGTCATGACAAGCTGGGTTGGGTAAGTATACAGTTTTCTCACCTGTCTTTTTCTTATCACTTGGGAATGGGATATTTTTGTGGAGTTGTTTTATGTCATATCAAGAAAATATCTTGTCAGCTATTCCAGAACAGTTCTTGCTTTCACAAATTTCACCTTTGATTTGCCATGTTCTTCCAGAATGCTACGGGTGATGGTACTCCACAACTTCTTGTCTTTTGTTGCTCTAAGTAACTTTGTCTTTGTTTCGTGATCTATTCACTTCTTTTTCGATGCCATAACCTTTCAGAACACAGGTAAACACAACTCTCCACAACTTCCTGCCTTTTGTTGCTCTAACTTTCAATCCTTTACTATTCCTCTGTCTTTGCTCTCATCCATTCACTTTTATGCCATGTCCATGTGGATGATGATGTCTCTCCACAACTTCCTGTTTTTTGTTTCACTCAGTAGCTTTTAACTCTTTACCATCCCTCTTTGTCACTGTTCTGCAATCCATTCACCTCTCTTATATGCCATGTCCTCTCATGACGTGGTCAGTCATGGCTCTCCAAACTTCCTGTATTTTGTTGCTCTCTGAAACTTGTGAGGCTTTACCATCCCTTTTTGTCTTTGTTCTACCATCCATTCACTTATTTTATATGCCATGTCATTTCACGATATGGTCAATTATGTCTCTCCACAGCTTCCTAATTTTTGTTGTAACTTTTAATCATTTAACTCCCTCTTTATCTTTGTTCTGCAATCCATTCACTTTTATGTACCATGTCCTTTCATGACATGTTCGATCATGGCTCTCCACAACTTCTTGTCTTGTTTGAAATAACTTTTAAATCTTTGCCATCTCACTTTGTTCCTGTTCTGCTATCCATTCACTTCTTTTATATGCCATGTCCTTTTATAGTGTGATGAATATGACTTTCCACATCTTCCTGTCTTTTGTTACTCTAAGTAACTTTTAACTCTTAACTATTCCTTATTGTCCTTGTTCTGCCATCCATTTAACGTTGTTTCATGATGTGGTTTATCATGGCTCTGTTTAGGATCAAATGGTAATTGCTGCCAAGAAAGCAGATGTAGAAGCTGAACAACACAGATAACACCTTGCATGAAAAAAACACCTCCAGTGTTGTTCACCTGGAAGACATGTACATGACTAAGAAAGCAGTTAATATAGGTAGACATGCCTTCATACAAAGGTGAAGTATCATCTTTGAGAATGAAGAGGATGAGCAGATTTGGAATCCTGAGTCTTTTGTGCCCGTTTTGGGAGGCTTTTTGTGATTCTACCATTAAATCTGTTGTAATTGAAGAAAAACCAGCATTACTATTTGACCAAAACTTATACCACAATAGAAAAGGAAGGAGACTATGTTGAGAACTAGATTTGGAATCCTGAGACTTTTGTATTCATTTTGGTAGGTTTTGGGTGCTTCTGTTATTAAATTTGTTGTAGTTAAAGAAAAACAGGTATTACTTTTTGACTGACCCTCATACTAAAATCAAGAAAGGATGAAACCATGTTGAAAAATAGATTGGGAATTCTGAGATTTTTGTATTCATTTTGTTTTCCTATCAGCAGACCTAACAATTGATGCAATATAGTCTTTCCACTTCATGACAGCAGAGAATGTCAGAAGGCACTTTTGGAGGTTAGCATCAGCCATGCTGATGGAAAGTAAAAATAATTAAAAGTAAGACTTGATATTAAAATGCCAGTGTGTATCATTGCACTAGTTAACGGAAAGTTATGACTTTTCAGACAGACCTGTCTATAATATTCATAAACGTTTTGTTTGCATTCCAGTTCAATGAACAAATGGTCAGATATTCTTGAAGATCTGCAATTGGCCCTGGACACAAGTTTCTGCAACAAAGAATGCCTTATTCCTGCTGTCCAGATAGGACTTGTTGCATCATTGACCACTTTGTTGCAGCTACCAAACCAACAACATGTTAATAGTAAGTAAAACTTGTATTACTTATCTCCTATTTTTTTTTGTCTTTAGTAATTATTAGTATATTTTATATTTCATATTAAGATAATGTACATATTGTTTTTATATGATTATTATATATTCAAATGATTCTTTATTATAAAATTATTATCTATCTATCTATCTCTATCTATATATATATCTATATATATATATATATATATAAAATTAATTAAATACAACAGATTTATAATTTATTCGCTTTAAACATTGTTAGTTTGTTTTTGTATTTTTTTTTTTAATGGATATTCATATTTGAGTAGATGCTCAATTTTTATTTTTCTAACAAGATTTCTTGAATATTCAGACCGATAGATGTAAATAAATAAATAATAATGTTTAAAGAAAAAAATTAAATATATATATTCAAACAAATTATATTAAATATTTTTTATTATAAAATTATTATACAGTATGCAACAGAAATTCCTTCCACATAATGGTAAGACATTAGCTAGATGAAGATACCATTGACTTAGAAATATGTGAGAGGTATTTCTCTCTCTCTCTCTATATATATATATATTTATATAAAAGTTGTATGGATATGAGTTTGTGACGCTGGGTTTCATGCTTTTGCGATCATCAGACAAACAGGTTTATTTTTTTTAAATTAGATCTATTTATGCTTGTTTAACTATGTTTGGTGGTGGGAGGGCAAATCTGCTTCTGTGTTTGTTTGGGGTGACACTCTCATACGTATAGACACACATACATATGTGTATACGCATTTTAGTTCACACAAACACATCCATATAATCACAGAGGTAGATTTCCTCTCCCACCACCAATCATAGTCAAACAAGTATAAAATGACCCAATGCAACTGAATATGTTAACTCTATCGAGCACTTTCCACTAATTATTGTACATATAAAATTTTTATATATATATATATATATAATTTTTTTATTATACAATTATTATAGAGTATGCAACAGAAATTCCTTCCACATAATGGTAAGACATTAGCTAGATGAAGACACCATTGACACTCATGACTTAGAAATATGTGAGAAGTTTTTCTGCTGCACCTCTCTCTCTCTCATATATATATATATATATATAGAGAGAGAGAGAGAGAGTTTATTATAGCATTTTTACATATGGACAAAGACATTACTCACAATGCATTTTATATTTGAATTATCTTTTGAATTAATGCTGTGAATGTTTGAATTTATATTATTTTTATTTTTATTACATTTAGGAATATATATATATATATATATAAATATATATATATATTTATTAAAAAACATTTTATATTTAACGTTCTTTTTATAGATACAAGTATTTAAGTAAATGTTTGTTTATAATAAACAGTATTAAATAACATTTACCGGCCTGAATGTTATTTAATACTGTTTATTATAAACAGAACATTTACTTAAATACTTGTATCTATAAAAAGAACGTTAAACATAAAAATGTCTTTAATAAATAAATTGTCGGACTTTGTTGTCCATTTCTTGATATATATATATATATATAGGGTGCAGTAAAAGCAGCGCCCTTTTTTTAATTTATTAATGTTTATTGAACAAAAATAAATGACAATAATTTAAGAAAATTTGTAAGTATTATCACATCAAAGCAATATTATTTGTTATGATTAACAAACTATTTAACATGTTCAAAAGGCTCCCCTTGAGGTTCAGTACAATGCTGAACTCCGTCAGCAACAATTCTACAAACCATTTGACATATTCCTAGATTAATTTCAGAAAATTTCTCAGTAATTGCTTGTTTTAATTCAGGAATTGTTTTTGGTTTGATCCTTTAACCAAGATCTTTCAGTACAGCGCACAAGAAAAGGTCTGGTGGTGTTAGACCTGGTGATCATGATGGTCACTCAATTGCCCCACGTCATCTTATTCACCTGATCTTGAAAAAGAAAAAGGCATTACTTTTGCTTCACCCTTTACACACATATATATATACATAAGTTTGTGGCCCTGGGTTTAACACTTTTGCAATCATCAGACAAACTCATGCATATAAAATATATATATTGTTTTAATATGATTATCTGTTCACATATTAAATTATAAAATACTAGAATTTTTGCAACATATGGACACATGTTGAAATTCTCACAGTATTGTTGAAATTATTGCTAACATTACACAAACTCTACATTTTGTTCAATTTCATAAGCCAATCAATGAAATATGAAAACTTAAAAGATATGCAAAAAAACAATATTGCAATTTTATTAAAGAAGTATTTGTTATTTTAATCATTAAGTGAATTTTAAAATAGTAGGAGTGATTTGTATGTTAAATAATAAAACTTTGAATTTTTCCCAAAATATTAATGAAAATTTATTGTACTATGCTATGCACACTAATAAAACCAAATGTACTTTACACCCTTTATTTGTTTGTGTTTCTCCCAAAAATTTGGTTTTGATTAATCATTGTATGGGTATTTTAGAGGGTGTGACAGACGGACTAATGGAAGTTACAGAATGTTGTATGTGTATGCGTATATATATATATATATATATATATATATATATACACACACACACAGATTTTGTCTTACCTGTTGCACCACTGCTGATGATTTCAGAAAGAGTTGGAAAGTACTTGGGAAATAAAAGTTATTCTCACTGTTACAGTGCATTTCTTGCCTTATTTAATTGTAATATATGGAAAAATATTTGTGAATATGAAAAGATTATGATAAAATTAAGCAGACAATCTTTGTAATTTATTCAATCAGACATGTCTTAAAGAGCATTTGCTGCCTAAATGCACACACACACACACACACACACATACATATATATATATATATATATATATATAAAGCTGGAACATAGTATTCAAGGATAACTATCTACTAAGGCAACTAGCCAGTCCCTATTGCAGACGCTTGCTCAGGCACATTTGTCTTTGTTCAACACCCACAGAGCCCACCTGTGAATTATACTGCAACTATGCTGAGCCGACCTTAGTTACAGTTTCTGGGAGAGAGCATATTATCTAGCATGATCAACAATCTCAACAAGGCCAGCACACTCAAACCCTTGGTCACGATGACTTGTAACTTCATGCTAGCACAGCTATTGATGGCACCCAGAGGTACCATCTACCCAATTTCACTCACAAGGCTTGGTAAGGTTTTCAAGCACTTTCCAAAGGTGCTGGACACTGGGATCGGCCCCTCCAGTCTGATAACATCAGGAAGTCTCCTTCCTGACAAATAAACCATGGTGAAATTTGAATCCAGGTCTCATGGTCAGAAAGGAAACACTGTAACCACTCAGCAATGTGCCTATCTATATATATATATATATATATATGTGAAAATATATAGAAAATAGGAAGGAACTGGTTAGGTAAATAATCCAAAATCCCTTAGTATTTTAGTTATTATTTTTAAAAAATAGTGCTCGATACAAAAGTCGAAAGATAAATATAATTATTTATTTAAAAATATATGATTCCAAAAGCGCGACATAAGAAGTCCCATGTTTCAAAACAAGAGCCAAAAACTTCAATATAATTATTTAAATCAAATTGAGTTAAAGTAAGCTCTGTTCCATAAATTTCAGATATTGTTATTCCAAAAAAATTTTGCTTGAAGATGGAACAGAGCCTACTTTAACTCAATTTAATTTAAATAATTGAAGTTTTCGGCTCTTGTTTTGAAACATGAGACTTCTTATGTCGCGTTTTGGAATCATATTTTTAAATAAATAATTATATAATGTTTTAATATGATTATCATGTATTTACATATAATTCTTTATTATAAAATTGTATTTATATATATATATATATATATATATAATAAATGTATATATTGTTTTAATATTATTGTTATGTATTTACATAATTCTTTATTATAAAATTGTCATATATATATATATATATATATATATATATAAAAAATGTATATATTGTTTTAATATGATTATCATGCACGTATAATTCTTTATTATAAAATTGTATTATATATATATATAATAAATTTATATATTCTTTAAATATGATTATGTATCCACATATAATTCTTTATTATAAAATGGAGACATTAGTTTGAATATAGTTAAGGATAAGTACATCAAATACTTGACTTCTATATTTGACCCTAAAAGAATATATTAAATCTTTACATTAAACTCTTTCTTTTGCAAACCCTAATGTAATAAATTGCTTTATATGAAAAAGAATCCTTTTGAAGAAATGTACAGATTCTCAGAACTTAACATGATGTCTGTCTGTGATAAAAACCAACATTGTCTCTTATTGATTAGTCTTAACCTGTGAATTCAAAGACATCATTTGTTTTGAAATCATTCCAGTTTCCGACGAATGCTTGATATCACTTTTGCGAGTTGTGTGTTCGATGTTGTTGGAATGTGTAAGGAATTTATTTCCTGTTCAAGGCAATGTAAAGAGTATCGATAATGCAGACACGACAAACACAGTTGCCATTCTACAAGGCAAGCAGCAAACAAGAATAAAGGTGAGTTGATGACTTTGACAAAAAGAAAAGAACTTTGGACAGTTTATTAACAATTTTAATCCCAATGTAAAATATTTGAGTTGAGAATTGGAAAGACAATATAAAAAGTTTAATAAACAGACCTTATCGATATCATTTAATTTTTTGTTTGTGTTATTATATATATATGCTGGACTCTCTCATCATTTATCAATGTATTAGGGTCAAGCAACTCAGTTCCAAGGAACCGACTGCCAGACACCTACACGTGTGATTTGATTATACTGGTGAAGGCTTTGTGCAGAACCAACCACGCTCTTTGAAGAGCCGGATATAGAGACCTGGTGCATCATGTTCCACAAGGTCCCCAAATGACCCTCCGCAGGTTTTGAGTTCAGAGTTGTCCTTCTTCTAGACCAGTTGCCATCTAAGGCTATAGAACTCAGTCTGTCCTGCTATTTACCCATAGCTGGGGGGAGAAGAAGAGTATTCATACCTTTCCCAAGGGTATTACCATGTAAATGAATGTTATCAATTCAACTGGATTTCAAACTTGGTTCTCCAATTCCTCAATCCGAGTCGCTATCTATTACTCCACTGTGCCTTCTCTCTCTCTCTCTCTCTCTATATATATATATATATATATATATATATATATAATAATTCATCAAGTCTAGAAGAAACCTCAACAGAATACAGAAAGCACTGGATGGCCATTTCGTTCTATTTTGGACCGATCAGCAGTACGCATCCATTACTGAGAACTGAATCCAGACCGTTATGATGCAATGCAAGCATCATACCATTGAATCAACGGGACTTGGTGACGAAGAAGAAACTGACTAGTCTCAATATAGCGCTACTACTCACTAAATTCCAGTGGCTCTTTGGGCACAATCTGTTGGGTTACGTATACTTGGCTGAGTATCACCACTGGAATTTAGTAATATATATTTATTATTCTTATATATATATATATATATGGTAGAAATTAAGGAGGATTTGAGATAATTATAATTAAGTAATTCATCAAGTCTAGAAGAAACCTCAACAGAATACAGAAAGCACTGGACAGCCATTTCATCCTATATTTGGGACTTATCAACAGTGCGCATCCACTACTGAGAATTGAAACCCAGACAGATACAATATTAGGCAAACGTCATACCAATGGACCTCGGTGACAAAGAAGTAATGAATTAGGCTTGATATAGCACCCTTTGTTCACATATTCTGTGGTGGAACTCATCTGAGTTTCCCTTAACCATAGGACTACCCTTGCTTGAACCAGCTTCTAATGCTCTGGATGGAGCAGCTTGGGGATAGTAGTCATGGCTCTCGGGGACACAGTCTTATGGTTAAGGGAAAACTCAGATGAGTTCCACCACGGTATATATGAATGAGCGGTGCTATATCGATTTTAATTCACTACCTCTTCGTCACCGAGGTCCGTTTGTACAGTTGGTATGATGTTTGCCTGATAATGTAACTGTCCGAGTTTCAATTCTCAAGTGTGGATGTGCACTGCTGATGAGTCCCAAATATAGGACAAAACGGCCGTCCAGTGCTTTCTGTATTCTGTTGAGGTTTCTTCTAGACACGATGAATTACTTAATTATGATAGATATATATTTAAATAAAAATGTTGGGACTTGGGACTATTACTCAATACAACTCATGTTGTTTTCTAAGTTCAAAACTTTAGATTCTCTTCTCAATTATAATGCCAGCTCAGTGAACAGTGTAATATTTGGATATTTTTTGGTGAGATAAAGGAATGTACATGTATTTAAGATGTGTAAATAGTTGGCATTCAAGGTTTTTAATTGTGCAAAAATTATTTAAATTTGTATGAAATATCTAAAATTTAAAATCAGGAAATGAATGCATATGTGTTTGCTAAACTTAGTTTAGCACAAGAACACAAGTTTAGGCTACCCAGTAAGGATTGGCCTCACTTTGGTACTAATGGCTTACTAGTTTATTTTCTTAACAAGGTACTCTATAGTTTAGTTTAGTGTGGTGAACCCAGTAAGAATTAGTATCACTACAGTAATAATAGTCTGCTCAAGTAAGTAAGGAAATTTAACAAAGATCTTGAGCATAAAAATTTATTCTTGTTTTTTTTTTTTTTTTATGAGACTTCATAACTTCTGTAAGAATTCTTTATTGTTTGCTTTGTGTTCTTTGCCAGTTGTTGATGACCAGTGTCCTTCTGTTACAAGAAATCATTTTAAACCTGGATGAGCCCAGCCTATGGATCCCTGTGCTGCACAACCATTTATTGATTCCGACTTTGCTGACCACTGTCCAAATGTGGATTAAGGTAAGATGCATCACATAAACTGTTTGTCTCCATCCGGCAATGTGTTTCACTTATATGGAAGCTACACATCAAAGTAACTAACATAGACAAACTGGTGCAAATGATTTTCAATACTAGATTTTATCCTTTTTATCTTTCTCAGCAAAGAACTACTTTTGATACCTTTTGCAGTGCCTTCAAAGAATTTAATATTTTTTAATGAAATACTTTAATCCGAAGGTGTAATTTCTGGTGAATAAGATGATGATCAAAACTTCCTAGTCAAGCTGTAATAATTTTTGCCTGGTCATCAAAGAAACATGAGGCCTATCATCATCTCAATGGAACATAAGGCCCTTACAATGTCTAGAGTATACAGACTAAATAGTAATCCAAAATTGTGATGTCTGGTGAATAAGATGATGATGAAAACTTCCCAGTCAAGCTGTAATAATTTTTGCCTGGTCATCAAAGAAACATAAAACCTATCATCATCTCAATGGAACATAAGGCCCTTACAATGTCTAGAGTATACAGACTAAATAGTAATCCAAAGTTGTGATGTCTGGTGAATTAGATGATGATGAAAACTTCCCAGTCAAGCTGTAATAATTTTTGCCTGGTCATCAAAGAAACATGAGGCCTATCATCATCTCAATGGAACATAAGGCCCTTACAATGTCTAGAGTATACAGACTAAATAATAATCCAAAATTGTGATGTCTGGTGAATAAGATGATGATGAAAACTTCCCAGTCAAGCTGTAATAATTTTTGCCTGGTCATCAAAGAAACATAAAACCTATCATCATCTCAATGGAACATAAGGTCCTTACAATGTCTAGAGTATACAGACTAAATAGTAATCCAAAATTGTGATGTCTGGTGAATTAGATGATGATGAAAACTTCCCAGTCAAGCTGTAATAATTTTTGCCTGGTCATCAAAGAAACATGAAACCTATCATCATCTCAATGGAACATGAGGCCCTTACAATGTCTGGAGTATACAGACTAAATAGTAATCCAAAGTTGTGATGTCTGGTGAATTAGATGATGATGAAAACTTCCCAAATCAAGCTGTAATAATTTTTGCCTGGTCATCAAAGAAACATGAAACCTATCATCATCTCAATGGAACATAAGGCACTTACAATGTCAAGAGTATACAGACTAAATAGTAATCCAAAATTGTGATGTCTGGTGAATAAGATGATGATGAAAACTTCCCAGTCAAGCTGTAATAATTTTTGCCTGGTCATCAAAAACAAACATAAAATGAAACAAAACGTCTATCTATCATCATCTCAATGGAACATAAGGTCCTTACAATGTCTGAACATAAGGTCCTTAATGGAATGTCTGGATATACAGACTAAATAGTAATCCAAAATTGTGATGTCTGGTGAATTAGATGATGATGAAAACTTCCCAGTCAAGCTGTAATAATTTTTGCCTGGTCATCAAAGAAACATGAAACCTATCATCATCTCAATGGAACATGAGGCCCTTACAATGTCTGGAGTATACAGACTAAATAGTAATCCAAAGTTGTGATGTCTGGTGAATTAGATGATGATGAAAACTTCCCAGTCAAGCTGTAATAATTTTTGCCTGGTCATCAAAGAAACATGAGGCCTATCATCATCTCAATGGAACATAAGGCCCTTACAATGTCTAGAGTATACAGACTAAATAGTAATCCAAAATTGTGATGTCTGGTGAATAAGATGATGATGAAAACTTCCCAGTCAAGCTGTAATAATTTTGCCTGGTCATCAAAAAAAACATAAAACCTATCATCATCTCAATGGAACATAAGGTCCTTACAATGTCTAGAGTATACAGACTAAATAGTAATCCAAAATTGTGATGTCTGGTGAATTAGATGATGATGAAAACTTCCCATCAAAGTCAAGCTGTAATAAATTTTTGCCTGGTCATCAAAGAAACATAAAACCCTATCATCATCTCAATGGAACATGAGGCCCTTACAATGTCTGGAGTATACAGACTAAATAGTAATCCAAAGTTGTGATGTCTGGTGAATTAGATGATGATGAAAACTTCCCATTAAAGCTGTAATAATGTTTGCCTGGTCATCAAAGAAACATAAAACCTATCATTATCTCAATAGATTACTACTACTAGTAATTTACTGGACTACATGTTTTGTTAGCTGTTAACAATTTATGTTGTCATTAATAATGATTTAAATATATAAATATCAACAATGATTTCTTGTTTGTGAATTTTTGCATATACTCTTTTATGAAAGTCAAGTGTCTGCTTTTCCCTGTACACTGTTTCATCCCCAGATATCTCACAAGCCATGTCTGTTGACAAAAGAATGTGTTAGTGTACACCTGTGCAAACCACTCACTTATAATTATCATATTAGTTCATGCAGGAGTAGCAGTAAAAATCTGCTACATCCATTATCCACCTTGACAAGAGAAATGTTTTTCATAGTTGCTTTTCCATTTTATCATTGCATTTTTTTTTTTTTAAATTTTTGTGCTAAGTATTTACTAAGTTACTTTTGTTTTACATTGTTTTAATAATCCAGGCCAAACAAGGATTGCCTTTTGTAGACTCGGCACTGACCCTTCTCTTGACTATTTCTAAGACTGAACAGGTGAGAAAATATTTTTTACATTTTCCAGAAATATAAACATTTCTTTTTTAAATCTATAAATACAACCTCTGTCCTATAATAGTTGACATTTCTATAAATATTTCATAGATTAAATGAATATGGGATAAATAGTTTACCCAATTGTCTTAGAATCTCAAATATGGTAAATCATATTTCTTATGCATTATCTAACTTCATGCCAAAATATGTAGAGGAATTTACACCTGCCTTTCTGATTCCAGATTTGAAAAATCATAAATTCCACTGTAATTTTTGTTTCATAAAAATTAATGAATTCAAGTTATATTTAAGGCTCATTGATAGGATATATATAAGAGTAGAATTTCTACGTGAATTTATAGCATGAGGAGCTATCATTATTTACATTCAGACTAATGTTGTCAATTTTTTTGTTGTTATCACAACAGCCAAAACATTGTGCTAATGACAACAAAGATGAGGGCATTAGTCAGGTGCCTGAAAAAGGATGGAATAAAAAAAATGGCTGAAATATTGTGATATTAACATCAAAGATGAGGACATTAGTCATCATAATAAAAGTTGGCAGTGTGTGAGAAAATGTATTTTTTAAGTTGCTTCTCACCCCTGTCTAGCCTCATACATTAAATGTTTCTTAATAAAAAAAAAAAAATTTGAAATTTTTAGCAAAAAGAAAAAAAATTATTCACTTCACTCTCAAGATTAATAAAGAGGATTTTTCACTGCACTCTCAAGGTAGCTAATATTTTTTTTTTATTTCTCTCACTGTCCCACCATGAAACTGCTGGTTACCTACTTTCTGGCAATATTAACATTTATTTCAAATGCTGACGCTTGTTTTCAGCAATGGCATTTTTTTATAATAACCTTTATTTATCAATTTATTTCATATTTTTCTTTTCAGGGTGCAAAGATTTTGATGTCTGCCGAAGTTGCTAACCATTTATGCCTGTCAATTAGTTCATTATATAGCATGGAAGATTTACAGCAAAGGCTGTTAGCATCTAATAGAGTAAGTATCTTAGATTCTTACTCAATCCATAAAGAAAGAAAAATCATAAATAAAATCTCTAGTGGTTTATTCCAATTAACCCCATGTTTGGCTGGGGTTCAGCATCAGTCAATTTAATGAGTTGTCAACACAAGAAAGAAGCAGTGAAGCCCCTTCAAGGAACCAGTATTAAACAGGGGTCTCCATTTTGGTTTGGCTTGTTTTACGGCGTATCAACCTCTATGAGTTATTTAATGCCAACAAGATTTTTATTGCTGGTAATATTTTTTTTCAAAAATATATTGCTGGTATTAAAAGCTATTTTTACACTTTCATAGTGTTTTGTCCCCAGTTTAGGGGTTAAATATTTTTCCATAGCTGGGACCCTAACAGGTGTTACCACCCTGGGTTTAGGTGGACGTAGGAACATCAACAATTAAGAGGTGGTTCCACGCTCTTCAAAACGTCCTGATCAGAGGCTGTTGGATGTCGTTTATCGTCTTACCCATTTTGTATCTACCATCAAATCAAGTTCCTTATACAAAAAAAAGCCTAGGATCAAAGAAGCTGTCAAAAAAATGCTCAAGTTCAGGTAAACAAGCTAAGATGGAAAAGTGAGACAAGCATGAGAAAAAGCATGACTTCTATGACCAAACATTTCTTTGTTGAAAAGGAGTGCCTAGAATACACCAAATGCATACTACCCCAGCAGTAGGGCAGCTTAATTTTTCACTTTTTTTTTTTTTTTTTTTAGAAAGCTGGATTTTGATGTGATAAGTACTGACATCAAAAATTAGATTCATTGCTTTTATCAGTTTCTGAGCAAAAATGTTTAAATATCATCTGAAAAAATGTGCAAAAATACTTAATTTCTGTAAGTTTTTTGCTTACAAACTGACTTCAAAATTTTATTATTTCAAGAATAAATCCAAATAAAGTTGTATTCGATACATTAAATGGAAAATATATTCAAACCAGAATTCTAATTATGAATCATCACAAGCAAAATATGCAATATTGTACTGAATTTGTGAAAACTCAGTAAAAATTACACAATATTACAAAAAAGGTTAATCAATGAATAAGATCTTACACCATTTGTTAAGTTATAATTACTAAAAATGAAAACAGATAAAAGTTTATATAACACCATAATACTTTGTGATAAAAATTATAAATGTTTTAAATTTACATTATTTATTGAAAATTGCACTAAAACTACTGTACTGTACAACATATTACATCATAATATAACTAAATTGGTCAGTATAATTTCACTTAATTTACAACATTCTAAAAACTAGTACAATTGTATTAAACCCAATGCAATGCAATATTTAGCATTTACCAGTTTATAAAGAAATAAATGTGAAAACAATTTTTATTCATAAATTTATAAACATTTACAAAATGCTAAAAATATGTGAATCAACTCTAAGGAAAGTTTCTCAATTGGCAATTAGTCGATGTTTTGCCAACCATTCCAATAAATAATATAATAAATAGTGTAAATAAACAATCTAATAAATCGTGTTTATTATTTTTATTTTTGTTACAAGAAAATGTATAAATTTACTTTCATATGTTTAGAGTTTATTAAAATATTGCTGAGGAGTGAAGGTAGTTAAAATAATAGCAGTGTCAAGGGAAAAACCATCCTTTTGACAGTGTTTTTTAGTGGACATGAAGGTTAAAAACTGCCAACTCTTGTTTAGGTAGTTATGTCTTTTGTTAATTTTTCTTTTTTTTTTATTCATGTTTTCTCCTTTGGCTGGCGTGGTACTGGTAGTGTTCTTCTTTGATGCTGTACCGATTGATGTATTCTGTATGTGTGTGTCTATATATATATATATATATATATATAGCAATCTTTTTGAGAAATACAAGATTGGTACCATTGTAGTGCAATTACAACTGCATTGAGCTTGCCATGTGGCAAGGATGAGTGATGATCATATACAAAAAGTTCTTGTCTACAGTGAACTCCATACTGGTCATAGAAATGTTGGTCGACCTTGGCTCAGGTATAAAGATAAACAAAAGAGCAACCTTTCTTGCATCAATATTCCATTCAAGAACTTTGAAGAGGTAGATATGAAGAGATCAGATTATCATACCGCTGCAGAAATAAAGCAACATCAAGCAGTAAGCATCATTCGATTGTGTGAAACACAAAAGCGAAATAAAACAGCTAACAGTGTTCCTGCTGCACTTGCATGTAATACTTTCTCCTGGACTGTTTGTAGTTTTTTTTGTGCAATTCTTGAGCCGGCCTCAAAAGTCATGCCCGTCATAGGCATGCAGATAATTAGTAGGTGGTCCTTGGAACTTCGTACGTTGAATTTGACGAGAGAGTCCATCATATATATATATATATATAATAATAATATTTTTTGTTTAAAAATATGATTCCTTCGTTAAGGAATCATATTTTTAAACAAAAAATATTATTATAATAAAGCTCTACTTCTGTATGGAGCACTGTCTTCTTAAAAATAAAAACAAAAATACTAAAGAACCCCAGATTATGCACCCAACATGTTCTTTTCTATTTTCTGCATACCTACACACATTATATATATATATATATATATATATATATATATATATATATATATTACAATGAATCACCATTATAAACATAATTTTAAAAACAGGGATCATAACATTGATCGAAGTGATTTGTAGGCTAATGCATTTAAAAATTTTGTTGGCAAAGGGATTTCGCCATTTATATCATTAACTTTTCGCATGAATGGTTCATTGTAAATTGAACTGCACCACATATTTGATATATACATTATATATATATATATATATATATTATACTATTATTTATATATATAATATATATAAATAATAGTAAAAAAAGAAAGAACAGTAAGGTATATAACCCAGTGTTCTTATTGATATTTTTATTTTTACAAAACAGTGCTCAATGTAAATTTACAAAGCATAAATATTATAAATTAACTGATATTTTTAAATCAGTTAATTTATAAGCAATGGAAACATATTTTTAAATCAGTTAATTGATAATATTATATATATATATATATATATATATATATATATATATAAAATAAAATGTGTTTTCTAATGCTATGATCTTTTTTAATATGTAAAGAATATGAGTTTAAGAAGTACTTTTCTTTTGTTATTTTTTTTAAAATAGTTTTAGTTTTTGATTTTTGCCATTTTTTTTTGTAGGAACGAAATGTTCCCGATAACCAGAATTGTGACAATGTTCTTTGTCTCAGCATTGATCTCTATGCATCAATGCTGACTACACTGAAGCATTTGTTCCTAAAAGAAACTTTAGACTTTGTTGGCGTACATCAGGATCGATTACTGCAGGTAATTCTTTTATAATTCCTTTCATTTCTGTACAGGTAAAAAAAAAAAAAAAAAAATGGTTTTGTTAATATTTCAATGTTCTTAATGTACATCAGCCTCAAGACATCAAACTCTTAATGTACATGTGTGTGCACATGTATATGAATGTATATATCTATATAATAAATGCAAATTTCAATGTGTCACTGTGTCACCTTTACTTCTAGATGCCATATCATATCATTTTGGAATCGGGCTGACTCTGTGAGCAAATTGAAAACATTTTGGGCCAAATCCAGACCTGCAATCCTAAAATTTTAAATTCCCAACTTTTTATTACTGCAATTGTTTTTGTCGATTTTTTTTTTTTTTTTTTTTTTTTTTTTTTTTTTTTTTTGCAATAACAATTTTTATAACCTGAAAATAAATTTGTGAATAATCAAAATTAATTACAAAATCCATGGAAAGTCACCCATCAAGTAAAAATAATTGTTTGTACTGAAATTAAGGACCTACATACATCAAATTGTCTTTAAATTAAGTGGTAGCAGAAGAATTATCATTAAACTTTAAAAGGTAAGCTTAAATATTAATTCAATATTTAAATGCGGTGATCAGTTTTGAGTTCTTCTGGAATTAATTGTTGCCTATCGCATCTACTCCTCCTTACCTATTGTGATAAAGGCCAAATCAAAAGCCCTCCACAGGAACTAGCTTAAATGCCACCCAATAAGGTGGCTTTTGAACTAGAATGAATATATATATATATATATATATATATATATAGTAGTACTTGTTTGGAAAACCTCGGATAGCTCAACTTGCAGTTATGTCAGGACAAATCGGTACCCAAGGAAAAAATTGGAAATAAAAAAAGAAAGAACGAAAAAAAATCAGAACAAGACAAACCCAATTGCCAAGTGTTTTAAGTCCTTAGTCCAAAGAAAAAACCCCAAACGAGTAGAAAGATTAAAACGAAGAGTGCTCAATATGCTAAGTAAAAGGATAAACTAGAATAATTCCTAAGGAGCCAGCAAACCTACCTAGGTTTCACCTAAATGGATCTTCAGTGTAAACTGGCTAAAAAAAAACAGAAATGGCGGTACAGTATTTATTGATAAAACCATTAAAAACATTAAAAATCAATAAGCATTAAAATCACATGACAGAAAAGAAAAAAAAAAACCATGGGACAGAAGAAGAAAACCCCCAAAAAACCCAAAGCCTCTATTCTAATAACCAGGCTTTTCTATGCCTACACTTATTAAGAATCTCCAATCTTTAATTTAATAAATTTTTAGGTTCCTTATGGATAGCGATAGCTAATTTTTCCTCAATACATAATGAACAAAACCTGTCACCTGCCTTATATTTATGACATTTTTTTTAATATTTTCCATTTCAAAAAGGGGTCACTGTTATCTTCTTGTTTTATATTCCATATATATGTAAACAGGCTGGTACTATGTTTATAGGTTTCATGATTAAAGCTACTTAGGTGTTTGTAGTAACGTTTTTTGAAGCTACCCTTGGTGGACCCTATGTAAACTTTGGGGTTCTTATCAGTATTATTCGATTTATTTCTATATATTTCAACTGTAAACCACACACTTCTATTGGCACCTGCTCTCAAGTGGACGGGCATCCTTATTTCTACAGTTAGACTTAGGAGGGCTGGGGTGTAGTTTGTCTGTGATTTCTTTCCTATTATACTTACTAATTAAGTCAGTCATGTTTGGCATGCAACTATAACTTAGTTTAACATAGTTTTATTGAAAATTTTATACATTTGTGGGTGGGAAATTCTTTTTAAGTAATTTGAAAAATATTTTTCCTATTTTAGTTTTAACTGCTAAATTATATGGGGTGTTAAACCATAATATTTTCCTAATTCTATTTTTGTGCTTGTCTTGTATTTTAGGGGAATTATGCATATCAACATATATTAATATTTTTTTTTGTGTCCACTATTTTTTAAAGTTTTTTCATAATCTTGTTTATTTTTATTAAAGATATTACTATCCGATGAATCTATGACTAATTCCTATAGGTATCTGTTTTAAAACATGTCAAGGGTGGTTAGAACCTATGTCAATATATCGCGGTTGTTGGTTATTTTTCCTAAATGGGGAAAATGTACCATAGTTACTAGGATCAATATACTTATTTTAAACTATTCAATAGGAGGCAACCTACTAATTCGTATACCTTAGCTCCATTATATGCCCACATGGGGTTGTCAAAATTATTGCTGTCTCCTTTTTTTAATCCATAATACATCATTATGGTATAATAGCAGCAATGCTTAATGGGATTCATTTTATCATCCGATTTGAAATGGAAAATATTTAAAAAAATGTCATAAATATAAGGCAAGTGACAGGTTTTGTTCATTATGTATTGAGGAAAAATTAGCTATCGCTATCCATAAGGAACCTAAAAATTTATTAAATTAAAGATTGAGATTCTTAATAAGTGTAGGCATAGAAAAGCCTGGTTATTAGAATAGAGGCTTTGGGTTTTTTGGGGTTTTCTTCTGTCCCATGGTTTTTTTTTTTTTCTGTCATGTGATTTTAATGCTTATTGATTTTTAATGTTTTTAATGGTTTTATCAATAAATACTGTACCGCCATTTCTGTTTTTTTTTAGCCAGTTTACACTGAAGATCCATTTAGGTGAAACCTAGGCAGTTTTGCTTGGCTCCTTAGAATTTATTCTAGTATATATATATATATATATATATATATATATATATAAAAGAAATATGTTGTAGTGGTTCCAACGAGAGAAAAGTATGTATATTAAAAAGAAGAGAAGAGAGGTGCACAAACGTTTTTGGTTGTAATGTGGATTTATTTAGAAAAAATATTGTGCTTTGTTTTACATAATTTTTTTAAACACGTTTCTGGTCTCGCAACTGTCTTCAGGTAAAAGCGGAGATTTCCACATATTATTAAAAATAATTAATTTTTCCTTATGTTCAATGTTAAATATTCTCGATATGAGACATTCTCTGTTTGTGTGTTGGTAATCCGAATTTCTTTCTTGAATAAATATATATAATATATATATATATATATATATATATATATATATCCCGTACCTATAAACACTAATGTGTAAATACGTTGGACACTATTGTAAGTGATGGTAATATGCTAAGTAGTCCACCACTAGCAGTGGTTTATATATATATGTATGTGTGTGCGCGCTTGTATATCAGTATGTGTGTATGTGCATATGAGAAATAAAGACTTTGTACAGAGTTTCCACCATATCCCTGTTATTAAAACTTATAAATCATTTGACAACACAGATCTATGTGTATTTGCTGAAATTTACATTTGTTCTGTCCAACAAAATGACCTTTGATTATGAGTTGCTGCCTTTGTCTAATTTTGAACCTGATTCTTTTCTCAGTCTTTAGAATTGTCTCGCATCAACCTGACAGAACCTGCCCTCAAAGAGGCTCACGCTACCTGCCGTTTTATCTACCAAATGTCTTTCTATGCCAGGGACTGGAAGTTTCATCTCCCCAAAGTCCTTAGCAAACTTATGGTAAGCAAGCATCCATTTTAGCCCTATCCCAGGATGGTGGTGGGACCCTTTTTACCCATGCACCACTATCAGTTGATACTACTACTACTACTGTGGTTAAGGTTTTTTTTTTTTTTTTTTTTAATCAATTCACCTCAAGCAAGACGATAATGCCACTAAGATGCAAGGTGCTGTTTGTAATGAAAGAGAATGAGAAATTTCAGAAGGAACCAAAAACTCAATCCTAAGCAAGAAACAAGGGATGAACCTTTACTCCTGTTCGAAACATCGGGGAGGGGGGTGAACCGGATGATAGGCAAACCTATCTACTCCTCTTGAGGAAAAAAAATAAATAAATAGTAAATTTCTGAATTTAGGTGAAGACATTAGAAGTATAAAGTTGAAATAGACTTTGAAATAGAAGGAACTGTAAACAATATTAAAAAGGAACCAAGGGATAAACCTCTACTCCTGTTCAAGCAACTGAGGAGGAACCAGGCAATAAGCAAACCTACTAAACATTGAGTTGAAACTCCATTTATGTTACTAAAGATAGACTGTCATAAAAATAATAATTATTCTAAAGGTAATATGTCAATGTGTTCATGTTGTCGGGCCCCAAAATCCACTTGATATTGGTCCATTTTTAAAATGACTGTCAAGTTAAAACTGTCTATCATTTATAACATTCATTTCAACAAGATTAAAATGACTTTCCAAGCAACTATGCAGAACTGATCATCTAAAAGTAAATGATTTAAACTGTTCAAGTTCTGATTAATTTCAAACAATCATAACTTGACAAATAATTGAAGTTAGAAAAAGTTTGACCAGTTCAGAAATCCCAAGATTGTCTCCTTTAAGACTATATACAGCACATTTCACTGGGCACCTCAACGTGGTGTAATGGTTAGCAAGCTTGTTTCACTAGATCAGTTACTACTGAGAAGTGAGTTCAATCCTCACTAGGTACCCCACACTTTCGGCCTTGTGCCACATCTAAGCTATGCTTAGAAAATAACTACAGCACATGTCACTTGGGAAATGTTTGAAAAATGCCAAATGTTCACTTGTAAACGCACTGAGCCGTCTCATCATGACCATTCAGTGAATAAAGAAAATGAATCCTTGATGAATAGTCATGATTGATTATATCCAGAAAAGACATTTTATTTTTTCACCCTATCAGGAGGGAGGGTGCCTGTGTACAACTTTCAGTTGATAATGTTCTTTCTGTAGTTGGGGTATTAGTTTGAAATTCTAGATATGTTACTAAAAATAGACTGTTGTGAAAAAGATTTTGTTGAGTTTTTCTGAAAGCAATTGTGAATATAGTGAATCCTCTTTCTTATTTTATAATTGCTGGTGAGGGAATTTTTTTGTTTTTTTTAGAAAATTCCAAGCAGTCTACCAATGCAGGTACTTTATGACTTGAGTATACAAATATTTCAAAAGTACATTCAGCATGATTTTTTTTTTGTATTAGCCAGGAGAGTCACTCCTTGCATCTTCTTGGGCTAATGTTTTCTGCTGTCATGAAGTGGAAAGATTATATTGAATCCATTGCTAGGTCTTCTGCTAGAAAAGTTGGTTCATTGTGTTGTGCTAGACAGTTCTTCTTGCCAGAATCTATCTTATACATATGATTATTAATAAGACTTTTATTTCTCCATGTACTGAATCTTGCTGCCACATCTGGTCTAGTGTTTCTGCTATGTATTTAGAGATTCTTGAAAAATTCCAAAGAAGAATCTACAATGTTATTAGTCTTGACTTGGCATCTCAGCTTCAATTACTTTCCCACCACTGTGACGTAGCTTCCCTGTATCTTTTCTATACATATTTTCATGGTAATTGTTCTGATGAGTTTTCCTCTTTGGCACCTAGACTTAATTGAATTGAATTTTACTACTAGATTGGCTACTAGGTCTCATCATTTTACAGTTGAAATGGCTAGATGTAACTATAAATTCTATGCTAACAGTTTCTTTGCTCACACTTCTTGCTTGTGCAACTCTTTTCTGGCTTTGAGCTTCAAAAATTAAAATGCAATGTCAGTCGTTATCTTGTCATCTTAATTCTTGTTTTTCATTGTTCTCTCTCCTTAATAGTGTTTTCTTTTACTCATATTCTCTCCTACTCAGTAACACCTTGCATCTTAGTGGCTTTATTGCCTTGCTTGAGGTAAAATAATTTGAAAAAATGAAGCTACTACATTTATGCATTTGGTTTACTTGATTTTTAAACTCTCACATTTGACAACATCACTCGTTCCAGACCCATTGAAAATTTAAAATAAAAGAAAAAAAGAATAATCCTTCAATGTTTCAAACAATTTAAGCCATTATTTGAAGTTCTAGGACATTTTAAATTTGGTGGGCAAGCAGATATTACCTTCCACCCTCACTTTGACCTTTTATCCTAGTCAGTAATTTAATTAATCCAAACAATTCTTGGAATGATAAAAGTTCATAATTATAAAAAGGTATCTTTGTGCACCTGAGGTTTTCTTTCATTTTCACCTTTATTTGCCATCTGTCATGCAATGTTTGGTAAAAAAAATTTTTCTTATTTCTTTTCAGACCAGTTTAGTCTACATGTGTCAGACATTTGTATCCCTCCTGGTAAGGCCACGTTATCTGCAACATATCTTGGAGGTAAGATGAATGCAAAGTGTTACTCTTTTATGTAGGAAGAATTTTTTTTCTTTTTTTCAATATATACTTGTATTCTTTTTCAATTTACATTTATTTACAATATCAAAAATTTATATTTATCTATTTACAAAAATACGAAAAGAAACCCTATTTCTTCCTTTTTGGATTTTTTGCCCTGACGAAGGGCAGATGAACTTCTTATAGAAGCCAATGGTGTGTGTGTGTATGTATATATATATATATATATATATATACACACACACACACATATGTCAACAGTACAGATTGAAATTTTATGCTCAATGCAATCTTCAGGTACTTCAGGTTGAATTTTTGGATAACACCATTTGTTTAATATTTCTGGGTCTCACGAGATACATTCCTTAATATAAATTCTTTTTTATTCTTACTTAAATTTATTATAAAATATCTAAATCTGACTTATTTTTAATCTTTTAAATATATCTTATTTTTAAGTATAATTTATCGTTGGAAGTGTATTTTTAAATAGGAACCTATCCTTTTATATATACATTTTTTTTTTATAATACTCCCTTTTCAGCTGTCTTTTAGTTTCAAATTAATGCCTCATTCTTCATACAACCCCAGTTTAATGTCATAAGGTTAATATCTGGGTTTAATTTTATAAGACCTCTTTCCTTTAAGGCTAATAATACCTTCCACCCACCCCTAACCTCTATCTGCATCATTTCCTTTCACTGAAACATCAAAATGGATAAATTCTGTATCAATTTTTCGATGGCTGTTTTTTCGTCCTCCTGTGAAAATTTCTTGGACATTCAGGCCGGTAAATGTTGTTCAATACTGTTTATTATAAACAGAGCATTCACTTAAATATTTGTATCTATAAAAAGAATGTTAAGCATAAAAATGTCTTAAAATAATTGTCGGACTTTGTCCATTTCATAATGTGTGACATACACACACACACACACAGTGATGGGTAAATTATTGCCATTTTATATTTTTAATTTTGTGCATGCTTGTTGTTTGTTTTTGATTCTGTTGACAACACAGTATTGTAGGGTCAGTTGGGCTCTGTCTGAGAAAAAGAGCAACATGATGCAATTCACTCCACCAAAAATTTGGAAACAACATGCTGTACTGCTTGGCATTTTCACTGGAAGCTCCAATACGAACATTTCAAAGTGTTTGGATGGCAATCTGAGGACAATACAGAGGATTCAAAAAGAGTTGGAGAAAAGAACTCCCAAATTTGTTGGTGGAATCCAGAACATGATTGATAATGATCCCTCCAAGTCAATCATGTCCATAGCCAGGAAGGTATTGCTGCCCTTGGTCAAGAGGATTGTTGCCGGAAGATCTTATGTCTGGCAACAGGACTCTGCACCTTACTACACAATTTTGATACTTTTCACCTTTTTTTTTGTTCAATAGCATTTAGCAGTTTGTCATTAACAATTCACAGATTTTTTTATTCAATTCATGTGTGAATAATCATATATTAAAGTAGAAATATTTTCTTTTTAGCATGCAGGCACAGCCAGGGAGGACCTTGAAAGCAAACGCCAAGGACAACTTGTGACTCCAATTTCTGCATTCCTTCAACATACCAGCCATGATGACTTGGAACAACCAACTGCCCAATGCCTTAAAGTCCAGAAAAAGTTGGCACAGTTTTCATTTTATATAAACTTTCCTTTTTATTCTTTATAATTTCTGATACAAATAAAAAAGAATGAAATTATAGGGTTGCTCAGTTCTTTGAGGATATTTGCATAAATTTAGTAAAAGACTATATGTCTTTAGTAATAGTATATAGTAATGAAAGAAGAACTTTATTTGAGAAAAAAAGGACATGAATAATCTTGAGACTCTTCTTGACATATTTGCTTAATGAATCTGCCATTAGCCTTGATGACTGCTTCAATATGAGGCTTAAAATGTTGACATGTCCAAATCAGATGATTTTTATCTATTCAGAACTTTGTGCTAGTTATGGTGGATTTCAGAAATGAAAGGACATAGCATATAAAAAAAAGTGAATGGATGACAAAACAAAGATTAAGAGGGATGTTAAACGTTACTTAGAGCAACAAAAAGCAGGAAGCTGTGGAGAGCCATGATCATGTCATAAAAGAACATGGCGTATAAAAGAATTGAATGGATAGCAGGGCAAAGAGGGATACTAAAGAGTTAAAAGTTACATAGAACAACAAAAGACAGGAAGCCGTGGAGAGCCATGATTGACCATATCATAAAAAGACATTGTTTATAAAAGAAGTGAATGGATGGTACAACAGAGGCAAAGGGTCAGTAAAGAGTTAAGTTGCTTAGCAACAAAGAAGAGGAAGCTGTGGAGAACAATCTCACTATGATAGGACATCGCATATAAAAGAAATGAATGAATGGATGACAGAAGAGGGACTAAGAGGAATAGTAAAGAGTTAAACATTATGTAGAGTTGTGGAAGATGTGGAGAGTCATGATCGACCACTTCATGAAAGGACATGGCGTATAAAAGAAGTGAATGGATGACAGAACAGGGACCAAGAGGGATAGTAAAGAGTTAAACATTACTTAGAGCAACAAAAGACAGGAAGCTGTGGAGAGTCATAATCAACTACATCATAAAAGGACAGAACAGGGACCAAGAGGAATAGTAAAGAGTTAAACATTACTTAGAGCAACAAAAGACAGGAAGATGTAGAGAGCCATGACCACTTATGTTCTGAAGTCATATGGCATATAAAAGAAGAAAAGAAGTGTATATTTACAAATAATATAAAAGAAATAGAATAAAAACGACTAAATTCCAATGTTTACTCACCGTTGTACATTTTCCTGTAAGGTTCCCATGTCAGGTACCAACCATGAACCAAACGTTTGTTAAATAAGGCACATTCGGTGTCATACTCATCATGCCTTCCATAAGGACAGTCCTGAAAGTATATATTATTATTAGTAGTATTATGAATACACGTATATACAGATGTTGCTCAGTTCTTTGATGACATTTGCATGAATTTAGTAAAAGACTAATCATGAAAAAAGAGCTTTATTTGAGAAACAATTGGCATTAATAATTCTTGAAAGTCTTCTTGACATATCTACTTAATGAATCTGTCGTTAGTATTGGTAAATGTTTCAATACGAGCTCTGAAACGTTGACATGCGCAAATCTGATGCTCTTTGTCTACTTGCTCATTATGGTGGACTATTATGGGAGTGTTGATTGACTTCCTTCTCAACTAAACCTGATATTTAGTAGCCCAATGGATTCAGGTCTGGAGAGCTAGAATTTGTAAACAACATATGCCACTGCCCTCGTAGATGCTCAACAAACTAATAGTGACCAATTCAAAAATGTACCAGACTATGGGTCTTGCCTGACTCCGGACTACCATAACAAAATAATTGGGTATAATGAAGTGTATATATAATAAGATAATAGTGTATAATCACACACACACACACACATATATATATATAAGATGATAATAGGCACGTGGCTGAGTGGTTAGAGCATTTGCTTTCTGACCACAAGACCTGGGTTCTAATCTCACCATGGGTTGATTGGTCAGGGAGGTGACTTCTGGAGGGGGAGACAATCTCAATGTGTGGCACCTTTGGAAAGTGCCTGAAAATCATACCACAGGTTGACCTAAGCTTTGTGAGTGAAATCGAATAGACAGAACCCTTGGGTACTGTCAATAGCTGTGCTAGCACTAAGTCACAAGTCATCATGACTGAGGGTTTGAATGTGCTAGCCTTGGTCAGATTGTTGATCAAACTAGATAACACACTTCTCTCCCAGAAACTGTAACTAAGGTCTGCTCAGCATAGTTTCAGTATAAGCTACAGGTTGACTCTGTGGGTTTTAATAGACAGGTATCCTCGACTACGAGTGGCCAGACATTAATGTTAAGTTTTCAGACATTTATTAACTAAAACTTATGAGTTATTTTTTTATTCTTCGTGTTAATGACAGACTACTGAAATCGGGTGGGACCATTGTAAATGTCACCAGCTAAATATTTTAAATTTCTATGTAGATATATTGAGTTCTTCATATGATTGATTTTTTTTTTCTTTCTCTAGCATCTTGAGTATCATTGGAATCTGCCTCTCATCTCTTCGTCAATTCACTCCTGACCTGTGTGAGATGCTTATGGATCAGGTGAGTTTGGATTGATTAATTTAACCTTTGCAGCTCCCTATTAAATTTCGGGATTGTATCTCCTGGATGCACATCAATTTTGGGTGTGCTAAGTTTTTGAAATGGTGGGTATATTATTAGTACTGTAACTTTTCGGGTTTTAGAGATGTTGTCATAAAATTTTTAGGGGATTTGTATGAAAGGATGTGGAAAAATGTAGACATTTTTTTTTTACTGAACTTATAAAAAATCTTGAGAAAAAACATAAAAACTAAAAAAAAATTACAACAGAATTGATGAAAAAGGATTCTTCCTCATCACATCGCGAAATCCTTACATATATAAAAGGGGACCTGTTGTCCAGTAAGATGAATACAAAGGTTGCTTTATCAAATCTATCAACAAAAGCAAGGCCAAAAATGCTTTCATTTCTTAAAAAAAAAAAAAAAGTTTTTCCCAGCTCTGATTTGTGAGTTGAGCTTCACTGTGTCACCCAATTTTGTTTTCATATCGTTTGCATATCAATTAGTTTCCACTACCATTAGTTAAATAACTTTGTCAGATAACTATCCTGGGTATGACGATAAAATACATCCACATTCTGGGTAAGATGATAAACTATAAAACCAGGAGTATAGGAAAACTCTGGTAGCCATGAGTGACCGTATGCTTGTGATGGTTTGAAAATTCCTCCTTCTTGGTTGCAATCACTTTCAGTCTCACTGTCACACACATCAATATCATTTGTAGATCCAGGAGTATAGGAAAACTCTGGTAGCCATTAGTGACCGTATGCTTGTGATGGTTTGAAAATTCCTCCTTCTTGGTTGCAATCACTTTCAGTCTCACTGTCACACACATCAATATCATTTGTAGGTCCAGGAGTATAGGAAAAACTCTGGTAGCCATTAGTGACCGTGCTTGTGATGGTTTGAAAATTCCTCCTTCTTGGTTGCAATCACTTTCAGTCTCACTGTCACACATCATCAATATCATTTGTAGATCCAGGACTGTACAGGAAAACTCTGGTAATCACTTTCAGCTCACTGTCACACACATCAATATCATTTGTAGATCCAGGAAAGGAAAACTCTGGTAGCCATGAGCTTGTGATGGTTTGAAAATTCCTCCTTCTTGGTTGCAATCACTTTCAGTCTCACTGCCACACACATCAATATCATTTATAGGTCCAGGAGTATAGGAAAACTCTGGTAGCCATGGGTGATTGTATGCTTGTGATGGTTTGAAAATTCCTCCTTCTTGGTTGCAATCACTTTCAGTCTCACTGCCACACACATCAATATCATTTGTAGATCCAGGAGTATAGGAAAACTCTGGTAGCCACACATCAATATCATTTATAGGTCCAGTGACCGTATGCTTGTGATGGTTTGAAAATTCCTCCTTCTTGGTTGCAATCACTTTCAGTCTCACTGTCACACACATCAATATCATTTGTAGATCCAGGAGTATAGGAAAACTCTGGTAGCCATGGGTGATTGTATGCTTGTGATGGTTTGAAAATTCCTCCTTCTTGGTTGCAATCACTTTCAATCACTTAGTCTCACTGTCACACACATCAATATTTATTGTAGATCCAGGAAAACTCTGGTATGAGGAAAAAATTCTCCTGGTAGCCATGAGTGACCACATGATGCTTGTGATGGTTTGAAAATTCCTCCTTCTTGGTTGCAATCACTTTCAGTCTCACTGTCACACACATCAATATCATTTGTAGATCCAGGAGTACAGGAAAACTCTGGTAGCCATGGCTTGAAAATTCCTCCTTCTGTGACCGTATGCTTGTGATGGTTTGAAAATTCTCCTTCTTGGTTGCAATCACTTTCAGTCTCACTGTCACACACATCAATATCATTTAGGTCCCAGGTCCAGGAAAAGGAAAACTCTGGTAGCTTTCAGTGACCCAGGAGCAGGAAAACCTATGCTTGTGATGGTTTGAAAATTCCTCCTTCTTGGTTGCAATCACTTTCAGTCTCACTGTCACACACATCAATATCATTTGTAGATCCAGGAGTACAGGAAAACTCTGGTAGCCATGGGTTTGACCCTTCTTGGTTGCATGGTCCATGGTTTGAAAAAAACTTCCATCCTTCTTGGTTGCAATCACTTTCAGTCTCACTGTCACACACATCAATATCATTTATAGGTCAGGAAGTAGGAAAACTCTGGTAGTCCATGGGTGATTGTATGCTTGTGATGGCTTGAAAATTCCTCCTTCTTGGTTGCAATCACTTTCAGTCTCACTGTCAACACATCAATATCATTTGTAGATCCAGGGTATAGGAAAACTTGGTAGCCATGAGTGACCGTATGCTTGTGATGGTTTGAAAATTCTCCTTCTTGGTTGCAATCACTTTCAGTCTCACTGTCACACACATCAATATTATTTGTAGATCCAGGAGTATAGGAAAACTCTGGTAGCCAATCACTTTCAAAATTCTTCTTGGTTGCAATCACTTTCAGTCTCACTGTCACACACATCAATATCATTTGTAGATCCAGGAGTATAGGAAAACTCTGGTAGCCATGAGTGACCGTATGCTTGTGATGGTTTGAAAATTCCTCCTTCTTGGTTGCAATCACTTTCAGTCTCACTGTCACACACATCAATATCATTTGTAGATCCAGGAGTATAGGAAAACTCTGGTAGCTATGAGTGACCATGATGGTGAAAATTCCTCCTTGATTTCAGTCTCTTGGTTGCATACAGTATGGTGAGTGGAAAACAGGTATTAAGGAGGACCGGTTTGAAAATTCCTCCTTCTATTGCAATCACTTTCAGTCTCACTGTCACACACATCAATATCATTTGTATCCAGGAGTATAGGAAAACTCTGGTAGCCATGGTGGACCCGGGTCTACATGAGGACTGGTGATGGTTTGAAAATTCCTCCTTCTTAGTTGCAATCACTTTCAGTCTCACTGTCACACACATCAATATTATTTGTAGGTCCAGGAGTATAGGAAAACTCTGGTAGCCATGAGGACCATCAATATGCTTGTGGTTTGAAAATTCCTCCTTCTTGGTTGCAATCACTTTCAGTCTCACTTCAATATTATTTGTCCAGGAGTCTCTGTCACCGTACTTGTGATGGTTTGAAAATTCACATCAAGTCTCATTTGTAGATCCAGGAGTACAGGAAAACTCTGGTAGCCATGAGTGACCACATTAGCTTGTGATGGTTTGAAAATTCCTCCTTCTTGGTTGGTTTTCAGTCCCACTGTCACACACATCAATATCATTTATAGGTCCAGGAGTATAGGAAAAACTCTGGTTGAGTGACCGTGTCTCCTTCTTGGTTGCAATCACTTTCAGTCTCACTGTCACACACATCAATATCATTTGTAGATCCAGGGTATAGGAAAACTCTGGTAGGAGTGACCGTATGTTTGTGATGGTTTGAAAATTCCTCCTTCTTGGTTGCAATCACTTTCAGTCTCACTGTCACACACATCAATATTATTTGTAGATCCAGGAGTGGAAAACTCTGGTAGCCATTATGACCGTTATGCTTGTGATGGTTTGAAAATTCCTCCTTCTTGGTTGCAATCACTTTCAGTCTCACTGTCACACACATCAATATCATTTAGATCCAGGTCCTGGTAGGAGTTATGGATGGTTTGAAAATTCCTCCTTCTGGTTGCAAAACTCACTGGTAGATCCAGGGCAGGAAAACTCTGGAGTGACCGTATGCTTGTGATGGTTTGAAAATTCCTCCTTCTTGGTTGGTTTTCCAGTCTCACTGTCACACACATCAATATCATTTGTAGATCCAGTCTCACCTCCTTCTTAGTTGCAAATCACTTTCAGTCTCACTGTCACACACATCAATATCATTTGTAGATCCAGGAGTACAGGAAAACTCTGGTAGCCATGAGGACCGTGATGCTTGTGATGGTTTGAAAATTCCTCCTTGGTTGCAATCACTTTCAGTCTCACTGTCACACACATCAATATCATTTATAGGTCCAGGAGTATAGGAAAACTCTGGTAGCACCGTATTGTGATGGTTTGAAAATTCCTCCTTCTGGTTGCAATCACTTTCAGTCTCACTGTCACACACATCAATATCATTTATAGTCCAGGAGTATAGGAAAACTCTGGTAGCCATGAGTGACCGTATGCTTGTGATGGTTTGAAAATTCCTCCTTCTTGGTTGCAATCACTTTCAGTCTCACTGTCACACACATCAATATCATTTATAGGTCCAGGAGTATAGGAAAACTCTGGTAGCCATGAGTGACCGTATGCTTGTGATGGTTTGAAAATTCCTCCTTCTTGGTTGCAATCACTTTCAGTCTCACTGTCACACACATCAATATCATTTATAGGTCCAGGAGTTAGGAAAACTCTGTAGCCATGAGTGACCCGTATGCTTGTGATGGTTTGAAAATTCCTCCTTCTTGGTTGCAATCACTTTCAGTCTCACTGTCACACACATCAATATCATTTATAGGTCCAGGAGTATAGGAAAACTCTGGTAGCCATGAGTGACCGTATGCTTGTGATGGTTTGAAAATTCCTCCTTCTTGGTTGCAATCACTTTCAGTCTCACTGTCACACACATCAATATCATTTGTAGATCCAGGAGTACAGGAAAACTCTGGTAGCCATGAGTGACCGTATGCTTGTGATGGTTTGAAAATTCCTCCTTCTTGGTTGCAATCACTTTCAGTCTCACTGTCACACACATCAATATCATTTATAGGTCCAGGAGTATAGGAAACTTGGTAGCCATGAGTGACCGTATGCTTGTGATGGTTTGAAAATTCCTCCTTCTTGGTTGCAATCACTTTCAGTCTCACTGTCACACACATCAATATCATTTATAGGTCCAGGAGTATAGGAAAACTCTGGTAGCCATTAGTGACCGTATGCTTGTGATGGTTTGAAAATTCCTCCTTCTTGGTTGCAATCACTTTCAGTCTCACTGTCACACACACATCAATATCATTTATAGGTCCAGGGTATAGGGAAACCTGGTAGCCATGGTGACCCGTATTTGATGGTTTGAAAATTCCTCCTTCTTGGTTGCAATCACTTTCAGTCTCACTGTCACACACATCAATATCATTTGTAGATCCAGGAGTACAGGAAAACTCTGGTAGCCATTAGTGACCGACAGCTTGTGATGGTTTGAAAAATTCCTCCTTCTTGGTTGCAATCACTTTCAGTCTCACTGTCACACACACATCAATATCATTTGTAGATCCAGGAGTACAGGAAAACTCTGGTAGCCATTTATGCTTGTGATGGTTTGAAAATTCACTTGGTTGCAATCACTTTCAGTCTCACTGTCACACACATCAATATCATTTATTTTATAGGTCCTGGAGTGACCCGTAGGAAAAATTCCTCCTGGTTGCAATCACTTTCAGTCTCACTGGGATCCAGATTCTGGTAGCCATTAGTGACTTGTTGATGGCTTGAAAATTCCTCCTTCTTGGTTGCAATCACTTTCAGTCTCACTGTCACACACATCAATATCTGCATGCGTAAATCCAAGAAATTCTTCATCACTCATGCTCTCCATGAAAAGTTCCTCTATCAATATAACAGATCCACGCTTTAATCTGGGAGTTGACATTGTTGTAGAAAATGTACGTTTTTAAAACACTTTATTAAAATTTACTGATAAAATAACTATTTTCAATTAGAACAAAATGACTGACATCCGGTCATTCCAAGTTCATACCATGAGATTAATGATGTCATTTCCGTAGTAATAGGTTATTTTTAGAAATTTTTTGAAACAATGCTCGTCACTCAGCAAACATGTACGCCTAGAGAATATTGAGAAAGAGTATTGCCAGTAGACATGTATGCCTGCAGAGTTGTAAAGGTCTGTTTTCATTTGGCTTTTATTCTGTTAAGCTTTTGTTCTTACTCCTTAATGTTTTTCTTTTTCTTACATTCTTTCATACTCAGTAACACCCCCCCTGCATCTTAGTGGCAATAAATGCTTTGCTTGGGGATGAAATATTTAAAAAAAAGAAAAAGAAAGAAAGTCAAATTCCAATGAATTATTGACAATTTTGAACAGGAAAAAAAAGTCTTTGTAATATTGATAATAATTCTTTCTAATTTCAGAGTATGGATGTTAGTCAATATGACCCCTTTCTGGCAATTGGCTTCAACGCTCCTTCCATTGACCAAGATGCCCAGCCAACATTTGGAACCCTGCTGGCCTGTATCAACATGTGTATGACATTCTTGCCCAAGGTAATTTCAGACAAAGTTTTAAAGCTAAATTGAAAATCTCTTCAAAATGTTGGATGGTGCCATGACTTTGGGCTCTTAAATTTTCCTGAATGTTTTTCCAATAATTTTTGGCTTGTGTTGATCTAAGCACCTTTACATTCACAGGATGAGAGACAATAAAAAATATATTATAATTCATGCAATTGTTTAAAAAATTAAGGACTCTTACCTTGTACAGTTCCAAGTCATCATTGGGCAAGTTTGAGCATCTATAAATTTACAATTCATCCATATATTGTATATTGCTGCCACATATGGTCTGGTGCTCTTGCTGTATATTTAGAGATTCTTGATAAAATCCAAAGAAGAATCGGCAATATTATTGGTCCTGACCTGGCATCTCGGCTTCAGTCACTTTCCCACCACTGTAAAGTTGATCTCCTGTGCTTTTCCTATAAATACTTTCATGGTAATTGTTTGGATGAGCTCATCTGCTATGGTACCTAGACTTTATCAATTTAAGTTCAATTCTAGATTGGCAATGAGGTCTCATCAAGTTTTGAAAGAAGTCTGGTGTGAATATCAACATGTGTAGAAGATTTTAATCCTGTGATGAAAATCAAACACTTAAACTTATCCTCTGTGAGGGATTTTAATTTAAATTTTTTGTATTCCCGATTGATGTGACCAGCAAATGTCACATAATTGTCAGCGTCATCGTTTGTTACCTTTAAACAATTTAATCGAATGTTAAATAAAGATTGTTTTTCTCCAAATACTTCTATGAGCTGTTCCACTGTTTCAGTGAAGGTGAAATCCATTGCATGCTTTGGTAAAATATGATTTGTATAATGGTCATGTTCCTTAGTGCCTAGTTTGCGAATTAGGAAATGGATTTTCCATTTTTCCTCTTTGTGAAAAAAGTCATTGTGAAAGGTATCCATCCAACATTTAAACCCTAAAGCGAATGTTTTCCACTGGGGTCAAAGTGGAATTCTGTTACGTTTTTGGTGATGGTATCCACTGAATTGTTATTATGGTCTGTTCTGGCACATAAAATTTCACTGTTCATGCTGTTGGTGTAAAATCTCCTTAAGTATCTCTGGTGAAATTGCCTTATTGATTTTGACAGACAAGGGAAGTAATTCAATTGTATTTTGAGTAATCGTTCTTTTTAGGGGAAGGAATTTAGCTTCTCCTAACAGTATTATACCAGGGCTTATGGCCATATCATTCTCATATGATCATCAAAGTTAAGCAACACCAAGTGTAGTCAGAACCTAGATGGGTGAATGCTTGAGAATACCAGATGCTATTAAGATTGAATGTGCAGGTGATGTAATGGATAAAAGCCTTTCATTGGAAATTGAAGAGCTGAGTTTCAAGTTTGTTATATTCACTTATGTGAAAATATTTTGGGAAAGGTATGAATCCACCTCTTCTCCTTCATGGGTTAATTACTAGAACTTATATCAGTAAATTATTAGTATCTCCCCAAAATTCATGCAATCTAAAAATATTTTCTGTCTTTAAATAACTTGCAAAAGGTTGATGAGCTGTAAAAAGAAAAAAAAAAACAAATCAATCAATCACTAGTTTCCATGCTCTTTTTCATTGTTGGCAAAAATGTTTAGCTAATAGTAGTGATTATGTGAAAAAATGGTGTTTCATAGCTGAAAACTTGCTCAATCCAATGGTGTTATTGTGCTCCCTGTATCTGCTATAGTACCCATGGAAATATATAGAAGATTTTACTTTTTTTATTATCATATGCTTTTATAGGTGGCAAAGAGAGCATAGCCACTAGTGGTGGCACATTGGAAAAATGGTGCTTTGTAGCTGAAAACTTGCTCTATCCAGTGGCATCATTGTGCTCCTTGTATCTCTTGGAGTTCCTGTGGAAATAAACAGGAGGTAGCATATTCAGAGCACCCTTCAGTGACATAATGACCCCATGACATAATTTGAGGCTGACAAGATTTAGGATTTGATAGTTTATCGCAGTGGTTATAGCATAGTTGTAGGCCAGTTGCATCTGAGTTTTAATCTCAGTAAATCACAGATTATTGTTCTTAAATTTCTTCATATTTTTTCATATTTATTTCATTTATTTTTGTTTCATAATGTGTGTCCTTGATTCATTTCATGCCTCTTAAATATGTTTATTTCAAATGGCGTGTTCTTTCCAGGTGGACCCACGGGCTGCTTCCCCACAAAAAGGTAACGAGTCTATTGGTCAAGTAATCCCAAAGTAAGTGAATTTCTCCTCCTCTTCTTTCTTTTCTTTTTTATTTATTTTTTCAAGATGAAATTTTTAAATCAATAATAATAATAATAAACTATATGTCAATAAGTGGAAAAATTATAATGAATCCATTGCTACGTCTGCTACTAAGAAAGTTGGTTCACTGTTGTGCTGAACAATTTTTTTCTTGAGAATCTATCTTACATATTTATAAGTCTACCATTTTTCCATGCATTGAATATTGCTGCCATATCTGGTCTGGTTTTTCTGCTATATATTTAGAAAATCTTGGTAAGATCCAAAGAATCTGCAATGCTATTGGTCCTGACCTGGCATTTTGGCTACAGTCACTTTCCCACCACTGTAGCTTCTCTCTGCCTTTTCTAGAAATATTTTCAAGGTAATTGTTCTGATAAATTCCCCACCTCCAGACAAATTGTATATATGGAAACTAGTTAGGACTACATAGAGACTTGAGGTATTATGGTGACTGTAGTAAGAATGGTAAGGTTATGTTGTTTTGGTTTAAGGAATACTGTGTTATGTTTGGGTCAGTAATTGTGATTAGCTAAGTTTAAGATAAGACAGATTGAAGACCAGCCTTTGCCCACTCCCCCTTTTGGTCTTGAGCCACTTTTTTTATATTTTTCAAAATAAATATTTCCTCTATGGCACCTAGAATATATATTTTGATGTAATGCATTATGTAATCCATGCATCCTATTTACATTATTTGGACTATTGTCCTCATCTTTGTCGCTATATTTATTACAATGTTTCGGCCTTTGTATGCTCCGGTCTTCTTCAGATATATAGACAGGTAATCCATGCATGTTTTGACATTGAAAACAACAAAAATTGAAACACAAAATAATAAACAAATACATTAACAATTAAACATACTTTAATTTCTCTTATTTCTTGTGGAGTTCTGGGGTGCAATTAGAAGCAAAATGGCTAAGAAGGCTTTCATTTTGTCAAAAAAGTGACCTGCTTCCTTGTGTTTACATATGAGAAGACACCAGCATTTGTTTGGTCTTTTTTTCACCTGACTGGCATATTTATTTGTCTTGTTGACAAATAAAGTTATTATTTTGTCGTTTATAAATAGATGAAATAATTCACATTTAGAAACGCTATCAGGTACATCAATGGTCGTCAATAGCTTCCATAAAATTAGTCTGCCATGGATGATAGTAGTCACTGGAGGTCATCATTGCCTTCCTCCATGTCACTAGCATGGATCTTCGACGATTTCACCAATATCCACTTCTTAAGTGAAGCTTTCAAAATCAGCATCAGAGTCCAAATCAAAAAAAAAAAACTCTTGAATAAAGACTTTGTTGGATGTTAATGTGACTATTTTTGTTTACAAGAAATTGTGAAAAAATTTACTTGGGTTTAATTGATGTTACAACTTGTGTAAAGTCTCGAAGAATTCAAAATAGCATCGTAAAGCGGAAGTTCCAAAGCCGTAGTAGGTGATTTCCAGCTTAAAATACTGGAAATAACAGTTGACAAGTGTGTTATTCATAGCAACCATCTCAAGGCGACAGAATGTGCCTACATCTACAAAGGGAGAGAATTTTACGACAACAATTTTTGCCTACAGCTTTATAAAGACTTTTTTTTTTTTTTACAAAGGACTTTTTTTCTTGCTAGATTTCAAGATTGCTAACAATATTCACACATTCATCTTTCTAGAAACCTGGTTCTGTTTGTCCTTGAAAACTCTCTCCTGCTAATCATGTCCCAAGCGTGCCGTTACCTGAAGGAGCCAACTTTGTCTGCAAGAGACAAGCAGATGCTTAAGAGAGAACTCAGTGCAGATCTGGTATGTAAACTTGTATCTTCTATTTTCATGCTTGTAAAATCTATCATGACACCGTTGAACAAAATTAATAAAATCTTTCTTGATGTAAAAATAAAATTATTATTGGGATACAACTGTGTTCGGATGTCAGGGTTATAAAAAGGCTAGAAACTTGGACAAAGAAATCAACCAGTCAAAAATGAATTCTGGCCATGTTCATTACGTTCACACTCGTACAAATATTCTTGGGAAAAATATGAATCCATCACTTCTTTCTCTGAAGCTATGAATTAAATAACAAGGCTTAAACTGCACTTCTTACCTCCTCCTTACTTGCATCAACCTCAATCAATAACTCTCTACCTTGAGTGGCTCATAGGCATTGTATTAGGTGAATAAAAATCTCCTTTCCTGTCTCCTATTTGATACAGTTCAAAATGAGTTTCTTTTTGTGCATTTGTTATAAATTTAAGAATTTTTAATACAGTTATACCTCACCCCTATGTCATTAATTGGTTCCAGAAGTCATGACTTAAGGTCAAAAAATGACTTAAGTCAAAATAACCAAACCACGAATAAGCACTCCCCATTGCCTATTACAGTATTTATGATACGTTCGTACAGTATTCTGAATAAAATAATTAATTTCCACCTTATGTTCCAGTGATATAAACTTTCCTCACAGTCATGGGCAAAAATAAATTCTAAATCACAATTTAAATGTAATTGAAAGAACATCAACAGCAGAGCACAGATGTAAACAAGTCAAAATCATTGAAGCAGCAAACAATCCGTGAGAGCCACCTGTCGGCAGGAATTTGAAATAAGAACATCTGCTGAACATACTTTATTATGCTATTTTTTGTTTTTATGATTTTTATTATATATATATATATAGTATACATAATATTATTTTTAAATATATTTAAATAGGATTTTATGTGTTTATTGTTATTTTAGTTTCTAATATTATTAACAGTCGACATAAACTCGAGGAAAACGACCTAAGACGAGTTTTATTTTTCTATATAATATTTAAGAAAAACCAACATATCTTTGAAAATGACTTGACTTAAAACAACTTAAGCCAAGTTATCACTGTATTGGGAGAGGCAGGGAATAGTAGGTTTTATTTATTTATTTTTTATCAATTCACTCCAAGCAAGGCCACTAAGATGCAAAGAGCTACTGGAAACGAAGGAGAAGGAAAAGACTTTAGAAGGAACTGGAAACCCAATTCTAAACAGGAAAACAAGGGATAAACTTCTACTCCTGTTCAAAAGACTGGGGAGGAGTGTAAACTGGATGATAGGCAAACCTATCTACTCCTATTGAGGAAAAAATAAATAAATAATAAATTTCAGAGTTTGAGCAGACACTTTAGATGTATAGAGTTGAAGCAGAATTTAGAAGGAACCAGAAACCAGATACTAAACAGGAAACCTATCCTCCAGTTCAGAAAAGCAGGGAGGAGTGTAAATTGGACAAGAGGCAAACCTATCTACTCCTATTGAGAAAAAAATAAATAATAAATAAAATTTCAGAGTTTCGGCAAAATGTAACTAAAACTGAATTATATTCCCACCTTTTTATAGTAACAACTTATAAAAGAATGTGTCTGCAAAATAGGTACAAAATAAAAACCAATCTTAAAACTGCCCAATTCAATGCGAAATGACCCGTGGAGTTGAGTGCTGGTAAAATAACCTATCAAATTCTAAATCAGAGTTTAGGTGAAGACACTAGATGTATAGAGTTGAAGAAGACGTTTAGAAGGAAACAGAAACCCAATCCTAAACAGGTAATAAGGGATAAACCTCTACTCCTGTTCAAAAGCCCAGGGAGGAGTGAGAACCTGTTTACTCCTATATTTATCATCAAAGAAGTTTTTTTATGCCAAGAAAGATTTAACTAAATGTAAAACAGTAATTTTTCTTTCTTTATTATTTCAGAACACATTCCTCCAGTCAATGCACCGACACATGCGAAAAGGAACGACGACACCCATATCTCCGTGCGGACCCACTCTGGGTGCACAAAGCCAGCAACCAAACACATCACCCACTGGAAATTTCTCCCTGGGGAGAGCTGGCACACAAAGTGGATTCTCTTCTAACTTTGATCAGGGATTTTACAGGCTGGTTTCTGAGTTTGTAGCCAAAGTTCTTCGATAGATCGCAGACCAAAGTGCATCTGACCACACCTACATGTATATTGAACTTGGATGGTATTGTGTAAATGTTTTCAAAGTGACTGAAAGTAGATTGGATGACTGGATATGGTAGGACTACAGGTGTCTCTGTGGCACTTAAATGTAGGAAAATAATTGGTTGTGTTCTCTTCCATTTGTGAAGCTATTTTGGATGTATTTTTCTGCAAATGTTCTTTTCAGACAAGCATACACAAAACAAAAATGTTTAAGTGGCTACATTTTTTTTACAATAATAACATGACATACCTTCACGTTCATGGGTTCTGATCTCACAGAATATGTTAGAACCACAAATTTTACTCCCTACACGTGTCTGCCCCTTAAGGGGTTTACATAAAAAAGGGGAAAACATTACATTTAATTGGAAGATGATATGCAAATATTTATATCAGACTAATGTTGGGTAATTGAATGACAAAATAGAAAATCCTTCTGTGTTACATGTTTCATCTCTAGAAAGGACTTCTTCAGACTAAAAATTAGTTCATCAATGGACTCATCAGTGGAGAGGCTGAAATCCAACAAACACTGCTTACAATTTTACTTTAAGAAGGCTGAAGATACAGTAATGACAAGCTTAAAACTTAAATTCTTTTTATTTGTTTAAAAATCACATTGAAAGTATGCTAATTTCCAATTTTTCCACAGTAAATTTACATTCAAGAATATATGTCTCCTTTCCTTACAAAATTACAGCTTTTACAATGTAGAATATTTAAAATAACAAAAGCAAAAGTAGTAGAAAGCAGAATGTGGTTGGTGATATTCTCCATCTATGTACATGTAAAGTTTTTAAAGAGTTCACATTTAAAGTTAAACTTCTCTCTATCTCCAGCATTGTTGCAACCAATCTTTGTTGTATTTTACCTCCCCCCCCAAAAAATATAAAACTGATTCCATTGATGAAACCATTATTAAGAAGTCTTTTCTAGGGCTGAAACATGTAACATGTTTTTGTCATTGAATTACCCATATACATTTGTTTTCTTTACCAATTTGTCCTACAAAGTGGCTTTCTCTTGAATCAATGTTCCATTCTTATCAGAAGCCACTGTGTGTGTGTGTGCACATATATACATATATATATAAAGTATAACACATTGAGTGCTGGCACTAATAATAAAACAGTGCTCAACGTATAATAACTAAAATTTATATTAATAATAAATATACGTTTTTTATTATATATACATATATATATATATATATATATATATATATATATATATATATATATATATATATATAAAAACGTGTGTGTATGAGGGATTAAGATCCAGGTTTAATAGATACATGACCAAATTCTTTTTTTTTTCTGTAAAAAAAAAAAAAGCAAAAACATTTTTTAATAATAAAAATTCACAAATTTTAACAAATGACTGCGCATATATATTTATATTATTAGATAAAATAATGAATGTTTTGTTAATTTGAAAACAAATGCTTTGTTTGTTCATGTAGTTTTTCTTTCTTTCATACAAGAGAATGAAAGGTTGGTTCAAGATTCTGCAGGAATTGTCCAGTGTTCTCATCCTTGGTTTCTGGGCTTTTGACCATTCTCTCTGTTCATCCTCCGAAACAAAAAATAGATTTTATTAATCAAGGGGATAGATTGCATGTTCCACAGTCTGCAGGAATTATCCATAGTTATTATCTTCACTTTCTGAGCTTTCATTTAATCCCTGTTCATCCTCAAGAACAAAAAAAAAATGTGTCATTAATCAAAGAAACAGATGGCATGTTCATGAGTCTAAAGGAATTTTCCATAGTACTTATTATCAGTTCTCGAGCTTTCAACTGTTTTCTGGTCACCCTCAGGCACAAAAAAATCAGTGTTATTTATCAGAAGATATGAACGTAAACTGATATTGTATTAGCATTTTTGTTAGAGACCCCATTATGGCTTAAGAATTTTACATCCATGGAACAATAGCCTAGTAGATTAAAGCATTGGTTTGTTAATTTAGTGATTGAATATTTGTGAGTTCAATTCCAGATCTGTACAGTGTACTTGATCTGAGTAGAAATGGGGGTGAGCAATAACTGAGCAGTACTAAAATAAGAACTAGACAAGATATCCCTAGACATAGGCAGTGGAATAAGAGAAATAAATTGACTTAAAATATTTTTGCCCCTCCTTGCCTTTAAAGGAGTGCCCTTTGCTACATGCCTTACTTCTTGCTTATCTCACACTGCAAATTTTTTCTAAGCTCTATACTAAACTGTTACGAAAAAAGAACTAAACAAAATGAACACAAAACGATCAGCTTTAAAAAAGGACTCATAAATGGAAAAACTGAATGCAAAAAATGAATGTTAAATCAAATCAACATTTTTAACCAATTGGAGTAAAGTGCCATGCAGATTTAAGGAAAGGCCAATTGAAAGCGGTCCTGTATGAGTCGTGCGATTTTTAGAATCATACAACACAAAGTCTCTCTATATAATATCAAACAGAAATATTTCTCTGAAATTATCAAAAACTTTTTCTGTTTGAATTATTTATTTATGCCTTATATCCATCGTCTTTGTGTTAAATTGTTATATAATTATAATGTTAATTATGTTTAAAATGAAAATGTCCAGAAGATGGTTTAAATGAAAATGTCTTTTAAATAGACCTAAACGTCCATGACGTCGATTTTATTTTAACATTAATAATGCATATTCAGAATTTTGTTTTTTAAACTGTATTTTTCTTTCATACTGTCGGATTTATATCCATATATTTTTTATCTTATATATATATATATATATATATATATATCCAAATGAGAGAAAGAACAGATGGAGTAAAATTCTATTGTTTGTATCATTTACTTTTAAAAAGTGCTCAATACAAAGTGGAGCAATATATTATTATTTTTATTATAAGAGATTATAATAAAAACATGTTGAAATTGCTAGACAAAAAGTTCCCATGTTTTAATACTTTGACTGTACTTCACCAGTTACTTACCAATGCCTAAAGTAGTACAAAGTATTGAAACATGAAAGCTTTTGTGTAGCGATTTCAATTTTTTTTATTATAATCTTTTATAATAATAAAAATAATATATATACTTGTCTTGGCCGCATGTAGCAATATCAATACAACCATGCATACCTAATCTATAACTTCAAATAGCCCAAGTGAAGTCTTGATTGGTTGTTGTTTACTGGGGCAACTTATATAATTCATGTCCTAAAGCTAGTGGCAAATTTTTGTTCTAGGTGCGGGCCGAATACTGATCATATTCGGTCAGGTTGCCTATCAAAGAAGTCTGTTGTTTATTTAGACCTGAAACTTCTAATGACATGGGAGCAACAACACTGATGATGCATCTAGATTTGGCACTTAAAGGTGTATTTTAATAATATAAATATAAAATATATATATATATATATATATATATTATTCAGACAAGGCCAACCTATCATCAGAACAATCTAAATCTAAGAATAACAATAAACAAACAGCACTTACATAAGGTCCCAGCTAGCGTCCAGCTGGCAGACAAAAAATAAAGCAGGTTGTAACTTAATACAAAACCCTGCAAACTAACTGATGAATCAAGCTGGTATTTATATAGAAATACCTCCACTCAGGTACCAGCAGCCAATCACAGCCACTTTAGCACAATGAGATGCTCCATGGCAACATAAATAGCTCTCTTTCTCAAGGTTGAATTACTACAGGGCTCGTCCGTATCACTGCTATGACTAGCTTAGACCAGCTCTGACCAGCTTGGACAAGCTATGACCAGGTTTAGACCAACAGCCCGAGTGGAAACATTCGGGTTCCCCACTTTAAAAACTGACCTTGTGTCACATCCTGACTCAGTGGGGGGTCAAGTAAATAGCTACTATTCACTTAGCTTGCTCCACAACTGAGTGTTTATCTCGATCACGTGATTTTTCTACACTAACAATTGTTTTAAAAAGTGATGATTAGAATTGTAATAAAACCTAAACATATGAAAGAGAATTTATACATTTTCTTTGTTCTTGAGAATTAACTACAAAAATAATAAAGACTATTTATTTATTAGATTGTTTACTGGAATTGTTGCTTAAACCTCAGCTAATTGCCAATCAATTCAAACTTTATAAAATGGTAAATAATAAGGATTTCATTATAGTTCACATATTTGAATAATTTAGTAAATTATTATTTAGTTATGAATAAAAATTGTTTTCCCATTTATTTCTTTATAAATTGATAAATGATAAATATTGCATTGCATTGCTTTTAATTTTATTAGTTTTTAGAATGTTGTCAATTTAAAATTATTCTTGTAATTAAATCTAAGAAATAAATAATGTTTAATATTTTTGTTGTAAATTCTCAAGAACAAAAGAAAAATGTATAAATTCTCTTTCATATGTTTAGGATTTATTACAATTCTAATCATCACTTTTTAAAACAAACTCTGCTGAGGAGTGAAGGTAGTTAAAAAAGCGGTGTCATGGGAAAAACTGTCCATTGCAGAGGAGACACATGTCCTTTTAACACTATGCAGAGGAGACACATTGCTGAGGAGTGAAGGTAGTTAAAAGGGTGCATTTGTTCATGTTTGCCAATTTTTGTTAATATTGAAAGAAAAAACTACTGAAGATTGAGGATAATAAAAAATCAGATCATTTTTTTTGTTATTGAACAAAGAGGAGACTTATGGCCCTATCATTTTGAAACAACGGTTCCTGTATGATTACCAAGGTTAAGCAATGTCAAGCACAGTCAGTCAATGAACAAGAAGGAGTTGTATTACATGAAAATGAATCCTCATTTTATGTCACCCCCTTGATCTAATGCTGTGAGTTTTGAATGTTTTCAATCCACTTGAATTTAATAGAAAAGTACACACAAGGTGTAAACATACAAAAGGTACCTCACCCAGCTTTCCATTAACCAACCAATGTCTACTCCTTGCTGCATCTCCATTCTTGTTTGCCTCAATATATACCAAAAACTGGGAAAGG